GCATGTTGTGATTTCCTTTTCCCAATTACCCGAAAACCTTTAATGGGAATTTAAATAATGAAACATGCATATTTTTTGACTGAGCACCTATTCCAAATATCTGATGGAAAAGTAAATTCACTTTACCAAACTTGTTTTATGTGTCATGAAGTGTAAATCTCTAAACACATACACAAACATTCAAGTCTGAAGAAAACCTCCAAGTTTCTTGGGTACATAAAGGGTCACATATTTTATTTCTGTGGCAATTACACTAACAGATAAAGCAGATAACTCACATTGCTGCAGTACCTCACAGTACTAATAGCCGGGCAGAATTTGTCTCTTTTTATTAAGTGGGTTTCAAAAAGTTAAATTAGTCTGTGTTTTGTAAAAGGAAAGCAAAAAATTCACAAATGTATTAAGATCCAGCAGAAAAATACAGATTTCACTTACCAAATATATTTTAAAATAAGCCTTTCTAAACCAAATTTCTAACATTTTATACAAAAAATTCTAGTATTAACCAAAACATATTATTTTTTCAGTGTTGAATAATCAAACACTAACAGGAAAAACTACTATACTTACATGTGGAAGAAGGTGTAAAAAAGCATCACCACTCAAAGTCCCAACGGCCAGTGCAACAAGGAAACTCAGGAGAAATTTGAAAAACACCCGATTCATGAGGGGCACTAAGATAACCCCCAGCAGAGACAGGAAACTGATGATGGAAATGGCTATAAAACCACCAACCCAGGCTGTCAAACAAAACAAAACAGAGCAAAGAAAAATTATACAATTAATAAACTTCACAAGAAAGACTTTTGGAGAGTAGCATAAAGCAACATGTAAAAGGAGAGAAGCTAAAAACACACAAATTCAATGCGAATAGGACCTACTGTAGCAATAGCACAATAACCAAGAAATCTGTTGTTGGCTCAAATGAACAACCTGATGGGTACTTAAGAACTCTCCAGGTAAGGAGCATAGCTCTAATGGGAAATTCTTCAGGTTGGGGTGAAAGAGGAAAAATAAATGGTTACCGAGGATGAACTGTAGCTCACTTAGGAACTGAGCTTTCACATTCCCATAAGAGCTGAATTATAAAATAGTTTTTTTTTTTTTCTTAGAGAAAAGGAAAAGAAAACAAAGAAGAGGAGGAAACCAGGAATTCAATAATGTCCTCAGAAAACAAAGCAGTGACTCTTTCCTCATTACTTTTGAGCAATGCGACCCTACCCTATAGCATAGCTTATCCTAGTTTCACTTATCAATAAGAATGTATCAGTATTAGGTTTCTAAGCAGCATAAATGAACCCAAGACCTCTTCCCAAACAGTGTGACATGATATAAAAATCCCAAATTTCAGGTGATCCTGACACCTTCTTGTAGGATGAACACAGAGAAGTCCTAATTGAAATTTGATTTTCTGGGTTTTTTTAAAGGGCAGGGCTAACATCCCTTCCTTGCTTTCTTCACATTCAAGGCAAAGAACAACTAAGATGACATATGTGGAACTGTACTGGAAAACAAATGGGCTGATGCAAATCTAAGGAAAAGCACAACATAAATGAATCTACTGAAATTGTTTTTACATAAAAAAGGCAATTTTACCTATTTGTAATGAATAGGTCTTTGGAGGGATTTCAGCCTTCTTTTCACTTGTATGAATCAGACAAGATCTAGCATCAATTTGGTTGATGATGGCTGGACAGAGATAGTTGAATTCTGTTGCATTCAGCGGAACCTGGATGCCCATGCCATGAGATGTCAGTAGTTTTGATGCATTGAAACACTGAAAGAAACAAAGCAGTGAAAATCACCAAAAGGCATCCCCATCAGAGTAATGTGATGACACAATACCTTTTTTTTACCAAAGCTACTTCTTTGTTTTCTCGAGTTAATGAAAATTAAAATCAACTTCTGTTTTGAGCACTTTGGAACTTGCCTCCAGCTACCTGGCAATACTATGTCACCATAGTGGTATCCCACCTCTTCTGTCTACCTCATCAGAGAAGCAGTACATCACGAGTCATCTGGGGAGAAAGCCTCTAGTGGAACAAGCATGAGAATAAATGGAGATTCACAAGCCTGTTAACTCACTGTATAAACGTATTAAGGAAATGAGCTTCAATTTCAAAATGGGGTTCATTAGAGATTGAGAAATATGTTGCTTCAGTACTAACGCTATCCTACTTAGCCTAAACAAGTCCAAGACATGCCCCTCTTCTAGTAATGACTCTACTTGCAAAAACTCAGTTCTGTCTACATATCTGGCAAAGTAATGCTCTGCAATGAGAGGATATTAAATTATGCAGATTATTCTTGTGGAGGGCAAGGCTGGTTAATAAAACAAACCTGTACCGGCAGGCAGATGTTTTCAGCTATTTAATTAGATGACAAACTTAGTTTGAAGTTATTCCTTTGTGCAATCTCTCCCCCAACCAAAAAAGAAAAAGAAAACAAACAAACAAACAAAACCCAAAACTGGCTTTAGTACCAGTTTCTCATCTTCTGTAAAGACATTTTCAACTCCCACCACAATTCTCAGTTGGTACTACTCAGAGCAAACTTTATCACCAGGGCCGCTATGGCTATGACCATTACTAGGATTAGTCCAGAATTAGTACAGTCACATGCTGGTTTGAATGAAGTACTGAAGTTTTGCTTATTAAACTGTATCAACGAATTCCTTGTTCCTTTTTTTTTTGACATAATTCCCCATTCTTGACATCTGTCAGCCAAGGTGAATTATGTACAGTCTGGAAGTCTACTCTAGAAAAACCACATGAACTCAGAACCTCACTGCCCAGACTTTTCCCTTGTCCAGCATGACGTTCATGGAAATTGCTCCAATTTCAATCATTCCTCAAGTCATGGTGGACCTTCTGTCAAGGAAGCAGCAGTGGTATTCTCAGTAGTCTTCAGCCCCCTCAGTCACACAATATGGATTCTAACATCCTGCTTTCTAACATCCCTACAATATGGATTCTAACTCCTGCTTTCAACTCCTCATTTTCTATTTTTTATTAATAATGTTCACCTTTATAGACTTTCTCTAAAGATAGCCTTGATATCTTTCTCTACATATTTTATATTCTATATTACAAAAACTTTTAGGAGGCAGCACTATAGTCACCAAAATAACCGTTCCCTAAGTTCTGATTTAGGAATGTTTACAATATAGCAGGCAGCTGAGAAGGTGGAAATTCCCTTTTCAATAACTTCATCATTTTACTTTTACTTTAAACTCCTCACAACTAGAAACAGAGGAGCAGAGACAGGACAGACACACAGGTATATTAAAATAATGCACTCATCTTACCTCCTGAGGATTTTCATTCGTGTTTCTAGAATACATAAAGCCTTTTCGGGGCTCACTCATAGATTCATTTGTTTTCCTACCAGCCAGCCGGCTCACCAGGCTCTTTTCTGTGACACTGGGTGGAGTGGAGCTGCTTACATCTTTGGGGAAGAGTTTTGGAGTCTCTATTGTCTCTAGAAAGTGAGTTCCTTCAGAGACAGTGTTGTACACAGTTGAGGTCACTTCACTAGTACTAACACTGTCCTTGACATTCCTTCTACCATTGGCATGTTCTGGTCGGTGAGCTCCTTTCCCTTGGCTGTTTCTAGGATCTTTACCTGAACTATCTGAGTCATGTTCTGGGCAAAGAGCTTTTCGCTTATTTTTACCAGAAGCAGCATGATTACGGTGAGAGTGGTGCTCGTGGTCTGAGTGATGCTCGTGGTCCGAGTGATGCTCATGGTCATGGTGTATATGGATTCTTTTAATCTTATCTATGCCTATATTTTGAAGTAATTTTCTGAACCCTTCAACTGACAAAGAATTATTTTCTCCATAGCGGTAGAAAAGCTGTTGTAGATGATACTGCCGTGTGGTAATTGCCAAGTCAACATTAATGCCAGATTCCCAATTCGGACTAATTTTCTCAGTGGTCTGGGGGAAAGCAGCTGCTGATTTTAGTTCATGAAGGCGATTTGTGACAGAGAGGGTGAAGGTCAGGATCAAGATTACAGATAACTTCCTCGCCATTGCACCTTCCTAGAAAAGACAGGAAAAAAAATTAACTCACTTCTAAAACAAATTGAATTAAGAAACCTTATACTGAAAATTAATGTGTAATCAAGGAATCAAAGTTGCCAGAGCATCATGTGGTGTGACCAGTGTGGCACTAGGTACTGTGAAGATGGAAAGAACTATAGTCCTAGGCTCTACCCTTGCATTCCTAAAACACATGAAACAACTGGAGAACAGCTGAGTGCTAAGAGGCTGACATTAGCACTGTAAAAGCAATAGTAATTCAGAGACAGGAGAGATCCATATGGCCACAGCCATCAACTTCTTACTGAAGTTGAGAATTTATTTGAATGATTATTTGAATCACTGAGGCCAATGATTCAAAATGAAATCTAGGCCAGGTGTGGTGACTCATGCCTATAATCCCAGCACTTTTGGGAGGCTGAGGCAGGCAGATCACCTGAGGCCAGGAGTTTGTGACCAGCCTGGGCAACATGGTGAAACCCTGTCTCAAAAAAAAAAAACAAAGAATGAAATGAAATCTAGCTACCTTGATCATCACTATCATTTCATAAAATAATCTTCAAGCACCAAAAAATAGAAACAATAATCTCAATTCACATATTTAAAAAATTTTAAACTAATACACTCTCCTTATATACAAATCCACTTAAGACCCCTTTCTGCAATCACAATCCTCAAAGGTGCTCAATTTTGCCAGTGTATCCCTCAGGATATTTTCTATGCATACTCAAATACATGTATACTTAATTTTTCAAAAAAGATTTTTTAAAATTTTATTTTATTTTATTTTTATGTAGAGAAGAGGTCTCACTATGTTGAGGTCTCACTATGTCGTCCAGGTTGGTTTTGAACTCCTGACCTCAAGAGATCCTCCACCTCCACTTCCCAAAGTGCTGGGATTACAGGCGTGACCACTACGCCCAGCCTCAAATAGGTGTGTACTTTAAATACACACTGAATCTTTTTTTCCTTCTTGACAATGAATCAGACACGTTACGTCCATACATAGAATTCTTAAAGTAAACTGAATTTCATGAAAAACTCACTGTAGCATCCTTGTGTTACTACAAACCAGTCAATATTTAATCACAGACTGTTAGTAATCCACAGCAGTGTTTGGAACCAAAGGCCTATGCCCCAAGGAGGAGGGAGCAATTGAGTTGGAGCTTGAAAAGCAGAATTCAGTTAAGCAGAGCCAGAATTCAGTTAATTCAGATCCAGTAGGATGTCCAGCACCAACGGTGGAGGTGATGGTGGTCAAACCCACATCTCCAGCAAAAGACGCAGACGTCAAGCTTCCAACTAAGCAAGAGTATGGGGCTATCCAGCTCTACCAGGGTCAGCTGTTCTTCTCTGGGCAGGGCTCTCGCATTCATTACCGTATCTAAAATACCGGTAATTCCTATTTTGCAAGGCGAATGAGGAAAACACATGAAGGAATGTATATTACAAGTACTCGTTAAACTCATGTGTTGCACAAGTGCGGGGTATCATACAGGGAACAGTGGGAAATGGGGGTACGGGGTAGAACGACGCTCCTGAAAGAGGAATCTTTGGGGCTTGAAGTTTCGGGAATTCTTCTACTAGGCAAAAGATAAACATTTAGAAATCATTCCTAGGAGAGAGGCGAGGAGCGGGGTGGGAGGGGACTAGCACAGGGGACAGCTCCGAGCCTTTCTCCAGGGAGGATGCTGAGCGCGGTCGCGGACCCGCTGAAGGATCTCCTTTCCTGCAAGTTGGCGTGTGCTGGAGGAAAACGGAAAGCAGAGGGGAAGGGCCTTGGAGAAAAAGGCGAGTACAGAAAACGGAGAAGAAGGCACAAAGCTCTCTTCTAAAAGCTTTTTATTTCTAAACACATCAGTCCCTTCTTCGAATATGGGATGAAAAGTACGGATCTTTTCCTCAAAAAATCCTCCGTTGCACTCCGAAGCCCATCTGAGCATCCTAAGAAGTCCGCCTCTCTAGGGAGAGGGGGCGCCTGCGGCGGGCTCCCCCCCAGCATCCTCTTTCTGGAGCCCCCCTGCCCGGTCCGCAGGACACTGTTCTCCGCAGAACCCTCCCTCCTCGCCCCGCCTGTCTGGCCTGCGGAGCTCCCCTCCCAGCCGCCCTGCTCCCGGACCTGAGAGACACGTCTCCGCGGCCTCGTCGTCCCACGGCCCGGCCACGCGCGCAGGTTTGGTTCCACACGGGCGGTCCAAAGGGCTCGGAACGGGCCCACTGGTCTCTTCAAAAAATCTCTACCAGGCGCGGACACGCAGTGGTTTCATTGGGTTGGCTGCCCCTCGGTCCGGAGGTAGCGCCGCGCAGCCACCCGACAGCCGCGCCCCTAGCCTTTGCGGAGCTAGAGGACAATCACTAATTACCGCCGCGCGCAGCGCCGCGGGGAACCACCGCCCACTTCGGCCAGGACTGCGGGGCATGCGCAGTGCGACCCCGGAACCCGGCTCCGCAGACGGATCCGCTTTTCCGTGTGTTCGCCGACGCCGCGGGGGCGTGGCGCGGCCTAGCGCACTCTGAGCAGCTGGGGGGTCGTTTCCTCCAGGCCTTACTCGGTAGCCAGGGGCCCCGCGGCCAGCTGTGGCCGCTGCTGGGAGCCGGGTCATAAGGGGTAGCGGGATGTTTCTGACGCTGCCCTGGCACATGAGTCCCGGGTCCTTCAGGGAGGGTCCCGAGCCACTCGGGTTTCGCTCTTGGGACAAAGGCCTGGCTCGTGCGCGGGGCGGGGCCACAGCCCCAGAAGAGAGCTAGCAGAGCGGCGGCTTTGCACAGGGGTTCAAGAGTGTGGTGGAGCCAGAGGGCCGCAGGGGGGCGGGGCTGCCTTCGTCTGGCCCTCGGCTGCCTGCGAAACGCGGACCGGGTGATGCCCCAGGAGAAACCACTCTAGTAGTTCCGCTCGGAGGGCGGAAGTGCGCGTCTCAGTCTGTGCGGCTGACCAGTTAGCGACATGGTGGCGCCCGTGCTGGAGACTTCTCACGTGTTTTGCTGCCCAAACCGTGTGCGGGGAGTCCTGAACTGGAGCTCTGGGCCCAGAGGACTTCTGGCCTTTGGCACGTCCTGCTCCGTGGTGCTCTATGACCCCGTGGTAAGAGGTCGCTGGACCCCTGACCCTTGTGCTTTTGAGGTTGAACCTGTGGACGTGCACCGGGCGCGCTGTAGTTGCCGCCCCAGACCTAGGAGGCGAGTCGGGTCGTCTCAGGGGAGCGGGGTTTGGACTCAGTCTCCAGTGGACCTGTCGGACTTGCTCCTCGCCCCTCACCCTTCGCCGTCACGCGTGGCGTCATCCTAGGGTCATTGCTGCCTATCACCTGCCAGTAACTTGTTAGTCGCAGACAGAAACCCGAATGATGAGAATCTTACCTGAAGCCTTCTTTGGGGAACTGTAGTACCGTTAATCAATTTGGGTTTTAAAACAATTGAAATTTATATGTAAATTAAAACCGTCATCCCACAGGTGCAATCTCATTTCTGTATTTCCTTCAGTTTTGGTTCATGAACTTTTGTTGTATTGAATTTCAAGGAAATGTTACCTGTGTTATAGCTACGGGAATGAACATTTTAGAGAAAGTGATAGTTTAGGGGAAAGATCATAGGGGATGGGGATCCTAAGCCCTGGTTAGAAGGCGGGACTTCCCTCGACTTCACCCAGTCGATTATTTTCTTGGCGCTTTCCTTACCGTATTTCTCCAGTGAATAGTTTTTGTATGCTCCCCAGAATTCATTGTAACCCCATTCCCACTGGCTAATTTAGGTCGATACAGTTAGTCTTGCATCTCAAAAGGAGGCTCAGTATAAAAAATAAAATGTTGAAAATTAAAATACAATGTAGGAGATGGCTATATGTATTTCTGATCATACTGCTTTATTGATTTGATTAAAAATTTCATTATTGGCCAGGAGCGTGTCTCATGTCTGTAATCCTGGCACTTTGGGAGGCAGAAGTGGGAGCATTGCTTGAGTCCAGGAGTTCGAGACCAGTTTAGGCAACAGAGCGAGACCCCCAGTCTACAAAAAGTTAAAAAAAAAAAATAGCTGGGTGTGGTGGCGTGCGCCTATAGTCCCATACTCGGGAGGTTGAAGTGAGAGGATCTCTTGAGCTCAGGAGTTTGAGGCTGCAGCGGAGTGGGATCACACCACCGGACTCCAGCCTGGGCAACAGAGCCAGACCCTATCTCAAAAAAAAAAAAAATTATTCTCACACCCTTTGCAGATTCAAATATATATATGAAATATTTTTATCCACATTACCCCATCTTGAGCTTGCTTGCCTCTTCCTGGTTTTTGTTTCTTGTTATTTGCATACTTGAATGGCAAGAGAAAGTGCAAAAAACAAGGGTAAACTTTAAAGGGACCATGAGGCAAGGACCGGCTGTAGAATGGGAGAGACCACAGCAGGCTCTCCATCATCTCCCACAGCGTCTCCTCATCCAGCACCGTGAGCGCGGAGCCTTGCGGCATTGCGGCACAGTTCCGCCATGGCTGGGCACTGGGAGGACCCTAGGAGGGCGGCTCTGGGGGTGGAGTTGTCAGGGAAGCAGGAGCCCGGGAGAGCCAGGGTGACACCATTTTAAAATCAACTCCGTCGTAAAATTAGCAAGGCACACTCTGCCAGTCAACCCACGGTCCTGAGATGTTTACGGCAGAGGAAGCAGCTTGGTAACGCCTGCAAGGACAAACTCCCACAACGACAAAATGTCCAGATGCCCCGATATCACAGGACAAGATCTGCTTTTAAGATGATTATACTCATGCTTTGATGTACTTACACACTGAAATGAAATTCTTATTCAGCTGTAGAATCCCATCTTTTTGCAGCAGTTGAATGGATTTGTTCCCATGTATTCCATCAGATTTTAAATCATAACCTGGTGGCTGAGCTAGTGAATTTTAGCCTATTGACAAAGAAGTGTTGAGCCTAAAAAGTACTTTGTCCTGTTAAATATTTGCTGGTTGGGCTTTTTTTTTTTTTTTTTTTTTTTTTTTTGTGTATTGACACAATCTCTGCTCAGTGCAACCTGCAACTTCCACCTCCCAAAATCAAGTGATTCTCGTGCCTCAGCCTCCCTAGTAGCAGGGATTACAGGTGTGCACCACCACACCTGGCCAATTTTTGTGTTTTTAGTAGAGACGGGTTTTACCACATTGGCCAGGCTGGTCTCAAACTCCAGGCCTCCCAAAGTGCTGGGATTAAAGGCATGAGCCACCGCACCTGGCCTCGATTGAACTTTTAAGTAAATATGGGAATAAAAGCATGTCAAATGCTAAAATAAAGTTTTGGGAATGATGCTCATTCAGCAAATCTTCGACAACCATCTATGGGTTGGCCCTGGGCTGAGTGATGATGACACAAGGTAATGAGTGGTAACTTGTGACCACCAAGAAATTCTCAGTCTAGTGGGAGAGACAGTGAAATACAGTAAATTGCTTTCCAGCCTCAAATAACCTATATGTAAAATATATTAGTTTATGCACATTTGCCTTTTTCTTAGCCATGAGAATTCTAGTTGGTATATAAGCAGATAACAAAGCCATTGCCATTGACAGCAGATAGAGAAAGGGGCTGTAAAGAGGAAGGTGCGGTAGTCACAGTTAAAATCTTTAGTGCTGTGTGAAGTATGAGAGCTCCAAGTGTAGGGTGAGGTTGGTGAAAGCAACCTGTTGAGGATCTATGGGGAGCCTGGCAATAGGCCCTGTAGGAATCTGATGTGTGAGGACTTTAGTAGTTGTGGTCTTGTGACATTGTGCCACTGGGTCTGAAAAACCCACCATCTCATTGACCATGGCATGCAAAGTGAACTGTGCTTGTACCCATTAATCACAGATTCCTCTATTGAAGGGCTTTTTTTTTTTTTTGTCAGAGAAACCCTCAGATTGTTGCAAGCATAGTAGGCCTACTTCCACAAGGAGGCAGCTACTTGTCTAGCTTGGTGTGTCAGGACAGGCTGCCCAGGTGAGAGGGATGTGGGCATTGTAGGAGAGTGAGCAAAAGCAGGTGGATGCAGACCGACCCAAGAGTTCAGTGTAATGGGAGTACAGAATGCTGGGAATGTGGAGTCTCAAGAAAGGCAGGACTGATTTAGAGGAATGGATAACTTAAGCCATGGTTAAAAGTTTATGGATTGAAGAAGGCAAATCTGTTTGATGTAATCCTGATGTTTTTACTAGTATTGAAAACACTGAAATCTGTTTTTACTTACTTATTAATTTTTCTGTAGGATAAATTCCAGTTTACTAACTGGTATTTTCTTCTTTAAAGAAAAGGGTTGTTGTTACCAACCTGAATGGTCACACTGCCCGAGTCAATTGCATACAGTGGATTTGTAAACAGGATGGCTGTAAGTATTAACCAGATTGTTAAAGTTGATCTCAATTGCTTTCTGATAAAGTATGGTTAGCTATTTTTTTCTCATCACTTCTCTTAATTTAGCATCACCTTATATGATGTTATACAATCGGAGAAACAGAAGAAAAATGGTATTCTCAGTGAGAAATCTGAACTGTATTTTTACTTCGTAGCAGTTGAAGCTTGGATTATACAGCAGTGCTTAGTGAGGGTAGTGCAGCCCTAGACTTGGGCAGGATCCCGTCCCACTTCCCCCGTTGCCCATAACCTTTGTTAAAAAACTTGTGAGCAGGGCCTAGACTGAAGCTATGTTTCAGAGACTTGGTTTCTTGGTCTGTTTCTGCCATAAACAAGCTATTGCTTTTTCTTTTTATTCTTTTTTCTTTTATTTATTTGAAATTTTAGATTTTTTTTTTGCCAACTGGTTGGAGACGAGAATATTTATTTTTTTTAGAGACAGGATCTCACTTGTTGCCCAAGCTGGAATGCAGTGGCTCCATCAGAGTTCCCTGCAATAGCTGGGACCACAAGTGTGTGGCACCATACCTCTCTAGGTTTTTAGTTTTGTTTTTTTTTTTGAGACGAAGTCTCACTCTGTCCCCCAGGCTAGAGTGCAGTGGCGCGATCTCGGCTAACTGCAAGCTCCACCTCCCGGGTTCACACCATTCTCCCTCCTTGCTGTGTAGCCCAGGCTTGTCTCATACCCCTAACCTCAAGCAGTCTTCCCTCCTTAGCCTCCCAAAGTGCTGGGATTATAGGATGAGCTACTGTACCCGGCCAGCTATTGCTTTTTTAGGCAAGACATTACATCTCTACTGACCCTAGTTTGCACGTTAGTAACATCTGAAAAGTAAAAGATCAGACTAGATCAAGAGTGTCTTAGAGGTTTGTAAGACCTATGAGATCAAATTATTTTCATAATGATATCAAGAAGTTATTCACAGTATTCATTCTTATTCTGTCATGAATGTACAGTGTTTTCCAGCCACATGATGTATGATACTGCAGCAGATTAAATACAGAAGCAGATAGGAAAATCCAGCTATATTCTAGTAAAATCATATGTTAAAGAGATTTGTAGGAGTGTAAAATAGTTCCTCTCTTTCATTAAGTTTTTGTTTTGGAAACCATTGGGGTTTTTCCCCATCAAAATGTTATATATGTTCACACATCATGGAACCCTAAGTAAATGGTTAAATACATATTTTCCGTATTTCTCAGTTTTAATTTCTAATGTGGTTAATATTGGTACATATGGTTCATATAATCAAAAGCTTTTTGGGGTCCTCAAAAATTGTAAGACTGTAAAGGAATTCTAAGACCAACAGTTTTGAAAATTTCTGGGCAAGATTATCTCCAGGTCTCTTCCCTCTCTTAAGATTCTGACTCCAGAATTTTCAGTTAAAATATTGGTTGCCTTTAGATGGTGCTCTCAAAATCCTATAATATTTCTTTAGTTGCTTTAAATATACCTACTGCAGTGTAGTTATGGGTTCTGAATTAGTTTTATTTTTCATTCCACACTCATTTGAGGGCATTTTGAGCCAGGCACAAATACAAAATTTTCTGAATTATTAAGACTTTGCTATGATTTTATAAATGATGTTTAAAAAAGTTTAATAAGCTACTGATTTCATTTGGTTCTGTAGGATTGGTCACGTGTTAGGTCAATAAAAATCATTAAATGGTACAAGGGATGACTGTTAGTGTGGATAATAAAACATAATTGCAATTATATTAATTGCCACCAGATAACATCAAAGACTGACTCTCAGAATAGGAATTTGTTATAAAATATTAATTTAGGCTTGTATGTTTTATCTTCCTTTTAAAAGTGAGGTTACATAAAATGAATTGCTTGTGTATTACTGTAATCTATAACTATTATGATTGATTTCCTTTAATTGAACTGTCAGATAATGCAGATAGCCTTTCCAACCATTTGTCAGTGATATATAAAATTTTAATATCATTTTGTATTTTTAATATGTCTGAATTTTAACATTACTTTTATGTATAGACATTCTTAAAATCATATAGTTAGTTAAGTGGCTTAATTACTGTGACGCATGAAGTTGAGGCCCATGATCACAGTTGGCTGGCAGCAGAGTTAGGACATGAACCTGGGCCTTCTGAGTTCAAATCTAATGCTCTTTAGTCCAGCTGCTTCCCTGAAACAAATAAAAAGAAAGTCCAAACCCAAATTAGGTTATTTACCCCTTTTTTTGGGTACTACTTTTTCTTCTGTTATCACTGAGAAGTTGCAAGTGTTTAAAAGATCTATTTTGAAGTAGGTCTCTAATTTCAACAATAAGTCATATTCTTGGTAGTAGCACCTGACTACAATGTTTCATATAATGTTCCTGCCAAGAATGTTTAGCCTGTATCTAATCATGAGGAAACAATCAAACAGATTGAGGGACATTCTGCAAAATAACTGCTGGCTACTATCATTGTCACAAAAATGAGGGGGACTAGGAAACTATTCTAGATAAAAGGAGACTAAAAAGGTGTGATATCCAAACATTCAGTGTATTTCTTTAGATTCTGAATCCCAAACAAAAATAGTTTTGAAAGGCATTCCTGAGACAATTAGGACATTTTAATATGGACAGTATATTATATAATAATACTTATCAATGTTAGAATTTTTGAATGTGATAATTGTATTGAGGTAATATAGGAGAATATTTTCGTCCTTAGGAGATGTATGGTCTTTGAAGATCAGAGATCACAGTGTCTGCCACTTACTTTTAAGTAGTTTGCCTCCTAAAAAGTGTGTATGTGTACGTATATAGAGGAAGAGTGAGATATTAAGCAAATATGGCAAAATGTTACCAGTTTGTGAATCTAGGTAGAGGGTACAGGGGTATTGTTTTTTGGTGTAGCTTGGACATTTTAAAAAATTGCAGAAAAAATGAATAAAGATATTTACTGAGATATAATTTTTTTCAGCCCCTTCTACTGAATTAGTTTCTGGAGGATCTGATAATCAAGTGATTCACTGGGAAATAGAGGATAATCAGGTGGGTAGACATGTTTATAATCATAAGAAATGACTTTTTTTCTTTGTTTGTTTTTTAAGAGGTAGAGTCTCACTCTGTCACCCAGGCTGACGTGCAGTTGTGCAATCGTAGCTCACCTCAGCCTGCTAAGTAGCTGGGACTACAGGTGCCTGACACCATGCCTGGCTGATTTTTGCGTGTGTGTGTGTTTTTTGTTTTTTGTTTTGTAGAGATGGGGTCTTACTTTGTTGCCCAGGCTGGTCTCAGAAGTGACTTTTATGTTTACTTTTATTTTTAATTTTTTTCTTCAACTGTGTTGTTCTTTTACGAAGTTAATCTTGCTCATCAGCAACACAAATGCTGTGTCTTTTGTACTACACAGGCCCCGTACCCTTTGCTCTGATTTCTACTCCCATATTTGTATGCTGTTAACTGTCTCTGTGAATTTCCTGTCATTTTGGAATAATTTTCAAACTATTCTTACTTGGGCTGATCTGTTTTCAATGCTTGTGGCATACGAATATAGATTTACAAGACTCTCCTCAGTGCCACCCCACCCTTCTGTCTTGTTATGTTTTTAAAAATTCTCTGATTAAGCTATAACTGTGCTTAAAGATGTGAAATGAGTATTTTCAATAGATTTAATTTTTTTAGGGGGTAATGTCAGACTTGTTTAAAAAAAAAGATTATAAATACGAAAAGTATAAAGAAGGAAAAACCTATACAAAATCTGAGCAGAGTGAACTTTCTGAAGAATGTCATTCCACGTCTCTAGTTATATGTGTATAATTATGCATAACAGAGATTATATTGTATCTGAGGATTTTTTAAGCGTTTTTGAGGTGAGATCTGGCTGTGTTGCCCAGGCTGGAGTGCAGTGGCTGTTCATAGGTAAGATGATAGTGCACTATAGCCAAGGACTCCTGGACTCAGGTGATACTCCTACCTCAGCCTCCCAAGTAACTGGGACTGCTGGCACACAGCACTGCACCTGGCTTAAGTGTTTTTTCCAAGAAGTCAAAGGCTAATCATTCTAAAGAAAGTTAGTGTACAGACCCTTATACATGAGTATTATGTGCACCTTCTTTAGTGGCAGAATTCTGTTTTAAGTATTATAATTGGAAAAACAAATGAGGAGACATTTAAGGAACACCACTATTTCAGCAGACAGTTTATAGAAGATACCTTTTGAAAGAAGTGGTGGAATGTCACACATTTGAAACTTAAAAAAAGATGAACCCAAAACATCAGTAGAAGGGATGCCAGAGGGAATAATCTTGATGGCAAGTAGATAGACTTGATAAGCAAATGGGATTTCCCACTTCTCTTTGCTTTTTTTCTGTTTTGCAGTCCTACTTGAATTAGGCAAGTATCATGAGTAGATGCTAAAAGTACTTAGTACAAGTTTGATGGGGAATAGAATGTTTACTCAATGCCAAAGTATACTCATATTATCACCAAAAAGAAAAAAAAAATTAACATCACAGTGAAGAAAACTGGCAGACAATACTTCTACTAAATATGAAGGTTAACTTCACTAAAACTTGGACAGACTGAAACCATGTGCCTCCTGATGGGATGTGCTTATGTAGTAATGCTGTCAAAATGTATATTCTGAGTCTCTTCATAATGAAAATCACATAATCCAAAAAGAGGAACATTCCACAAAGTTGACCTATATTCTTCAGAATACCTATTATCTTCTCAGAGTAGATTCCTAGATATGAGATTGCTTTGTCACAGGGTGTTTACATTTTGTGTGTTAACATGGTCAGACAGACTTCTTGAAAAGTTTTATTCTTTTCAACTTAGAGGACCTATTTTTGGCTCAGCCGTTTTATTGGCATCTTTATCCAATTAAATAAAGGTTAAAAAAAATCCTTTTTTTTTTTTTTTCACAACGCTTCTGTCATTCTCTCTGATTCAGCTTTTAAAAGCAGTCCATCTTCAAGGCCATGAAGGACCTGTTTATGCGGTGCATGCTGTTTACCAGAGGAGGACATCAGATCCTGCATTATGTACACTGATCGTTTCTGCAGCTGCAGATTCTGCTGTTCGACTTTGGTCTAAAAAGGGTTCAGAAGGTAGGTTTGGAGACATGATAATCCAGACAAACGAAATAATATTTAACAAATGAATGACGAGCAGAAGAGCATATATATAATTTTTTAAAACTTTCAAGCAATTTTAAAAATACAATAATTCTAATCTAAATTTTTCTTTTGCACTTATTTAAAATTCTCTATACCATAACTTTTTCATGTAAGTCATTTTGCTCTCTGTAACATCGTTAAAATTTGGCCATTTAACTTCACATGGTCAGTGGGGACTCAGGATTGACTTCTCTCATCTCCCTTCTGCTACCTGGGGCTGTGATGATGCTATCCAACCTGTCTAGTTGGATAAGCTCTGAGGGAGTTGTTCATTGTGTTTTTTATTATTTCTTAGTAACGTGCCTTCAGACTTTAAATTTTGGAAATGGATTTGCTCTGGCTCTCTGCTTGTCTTTTTTGCCAAATACTGATGGTGAGTATCCTGTTAAGTATATATTAAAAGAACAGTGTATTTGCATATTGTCATATGATTAGAACCTAAAAGAAATGTATTGGGTCTTAATTTTGTATCTAAATGTTTCTGTGAAACAAGATGTGAATAACATACTTTTATCATAATATTCAAGTGATCTGAGTATAGAACATAAAGTTAAGGGCTTATTAGGATTTTGATAGCTATTGATAATTTAAGTGACTTACTATATACCTAAGAGTGATACTCTTAGTTATCAAATATACTGTGGATGTGTATGGATCTATGGACATGTATGGAATGAGAGGAAAGTATCTCATTCTTTAGAAGGTGAAAGTCTGGGGTAAGTTGAAAAAGTTTTGAATGAAGGTGGCATATGAGCATTTCTCTCAGAATGATGGCCCCTTCACATCCCGCATAATGACATTTTGCCCAAGACCACTTAAAATCTGCAAACAGAAAAATTTCCCTTTTGCTGTGAAACCTATCTGTACTTATCTTTGAGTATCTTCTACAAAGATAATAGCCAGTGTGAGTGAGTCAGCCTCTTTGCCTCCACAGTTACCTGGAAGACAGGCCAGGTGAAAAGAGGCAGGGCCTGGAAGCCACCAGCCTCTCTCACCCTCTGTAGCAGGAGCTGCAACTCCATGGTTTCATGTTATGTTCCATTTTGTGCAAGGCTCTGCAGAAGGGGAAGCTGCACACATTGTGGCATCATAACAGAATTTCATTTCTTCCATCTGCATTCAGGCCAAGTAACTGGAGTTTTGTTTTTATTGTTTTTCTTTTTCTTTTTTTTGTAGTTGATCTAAAGTAAGAAAATCTTTGAAAAACACACTTCGTGGCAAGGCATGTCCTTAGAGAAAGTCCCTACTATATCTAGCAGAATCATCAGGGCTGCCCTTTGGCAATGCAAATTATTAATGATTTTTTATCTTATTAAAATAATTTAACAGTCACATCTTTCATAGCTTTTTAAAATTTTTAAATTTAAAATTTATTTATTTATTTTTTAGAGATAAGGTCTCATTTTGTCACTCAGGCTTGAGTGCAGTGGTGATCTATAGCTCACTGCAGCCTCAAACTCCTAGGCTCAGGTGATTTTCCCACCTCAGCCAAGTAGCTGGGACTACAAGCATGCTCCACTATACCCAGCTAATTTTTTTATTCTTGTAGAGACAGGGTCTGTTTATGTTGCCCAGTCTGGTCTTGGACTCCTGGCTTCAAGTGGTTCTCCTGTCTCAGCCTCCCAAAGTGCTGAGATCACAGACATGAACCACTGCGTCTGGATCCCCTTGCATAGCTTTTTAAATTTTTTATTTTATTTTTTTGACACAGGGTCTCATTCTGTTGCTCAGGTTGGAGTGCAGTGGTGCCATCACAGCTCACCTCAGCCCCCTGAGTAGCTGGGACTCCAAGCACATGCCACCATGCCTGGCTAATTGCCTTGTATAGCTTTTTAGCCACATGCTTAATGACGTGCTCTTTTATTTATTTTTATTTTTATTTCTATTTTTTGGGATGGAGTCTTGCTCCATTGCCCAGGCTGGAGTGCAGTGGTGCGATCTCGGCTCGCTGCAGTCTCTGCCTCCTGGGTTTAAGTAATTTTCCTGCTTCAGCCTCCCGAGTAACTGGGATTACAGGCATGTGCCACCACGCCCAGATAATTTTTGTATTTTTGGTAGAGACGGTTTTGTCATGTTGGCCAGGCTGGTCTCAAATTCCTGACCTCAGGTGATCTGCCCACCTCAGCCTCCCAAAGGATCACGCCCTAGGATTACAGGCATGAGCGACTGCACCCAGCCTTTTATTTTGTTTTAAACAAAGTAAAACATAACATTTATTTTGTTTTAAACAAAATAAAACATAATTCAAACAAAACATAAGGTCCTCAAATTAACAAACATACCCTTAAATCTGTGTGCATTAGCCATGATGCTAGGGCTCATAGTAGCTGTTCATTATTTAGTTGTCTTAACAACTTTTCCTCTTGGTCTTCGGGCTGACATGGTGAAAATACTCTCTAGTTGCTCTCGAGCGTAATTTTCACTTCTATCATAAATGTCATAGAATGGAGAGAAGAACTGGATTCTTATTTAATAGTCATTATAATTACCAAGTAACCACTGAATAGATCATTTTAGAGTGTTCATTTTATTCCTGCAGACATTTATTGAGCATTTTCAATTATTCATATAGTGGTGTGGGAAATTGAAGTCAGGATTCTTTACCTAGAGCTTACAATCCAGTACAGTTGATAATCATAACATGTAGTGGAATAGGGAACTCACAGTGAAGCCTGTTTTTTTTTTCCCCAGTACCAATATTAGCATGTGGCGATGATGATTGCAGAATTCACTTATTTGCTCAACAAAATGATCAGGTAATAATGTTTATTAAGAGGCTAGAATTATATTCTGCTTAGTTATATCTCAATACGGACTATATCCAGATTATAGAATTTTAGAGAATGTTCTAATCTAAACCAAAATAATCCAGTAGAATCTTTTTTTGATAGTCCTCTGTTAAGATGGTTGTCTACTCTGAACACCAAGTAACCACTGCCTTGATCATCAGGCTCAGAGTTGTTAGGGGGAAACAGGTCATTAGGTAGGGGAGGAGAGATGGAAGATGCTGTGGTAGTTGTTTTTCTCTTAAAAATTTAAACAAGATACAACATACATACAGTGAAGCATTCCTAGAAGTATTTATTTGCCCTTCTGAGCTTTACTTAGATTTTAAGTGATTAAACTAAAGGAGAGAAATTTAGAAAGGGATTGGTTAACTGTAAACTCATTTATTTAATAGTGAGGATACTTGTTTCTTTGCATTCTATAAGAAGGTTAAAAATGGTTGTGAAAGTTCAGCTATTCAACTTTTTTTTTTTTTTTTTTTTTTTTTGAGACAGAGTCTTGTTCTGTCTCCTGGGCTGGTACAGTGGTGAGAACATGCGTCACTGTAATCTTGACTTCCTAGGCTCAGGCAATCCTCCTGCCTCAGCCTCCTGTGTAGTTGAGACCACAGGCATGTATCACCATGCCTGGCTAATTTTAAAATTTTTTGTAGACACAGGGTCTCACTTTATTGCCCAGGCTGGTCTCAGTCTCCTGGCCTCAGGTGATAGTCCCACCTCCTCAGCCTCCCAAGGTATTAGGATTATAGATGTGAGCCACTGCCCAACCCACCTGTTTTTCTATATTATATCTACACTATGTATCATTTTATATCATAAACATTTAAAATATTTGAGATTACAAATATTATATTGTCTACTCAAAGGTGCTCCAGTTAGTGATTTAGATATCATGTGATGGGTTTTTCATTCCCAAAGGAATGCTTTTTCCTGTCTAATCAAATAGTGTTCTCAGTAAAAGAGCAATGCAGTAGGATTGTCTGAGACCAAATGATGTCACTGGTATACATGAAGATGTTAAATTCTTATATCAAGCCCAATGATTTTTATCTTACTAGTTTCAGAAAGTGCTTTCTCTCTGTGGACATGAGGATTGGATTAGAGGAGTGGAATGGGCAGCCTTTGGTCAGTATGAAATTTTGCTAATGCACATACAGTGGGAACAAGTATGTGTTACTTCCAATAAAGCAGCCTTTTATGTTTCAATTTTTAAGTTTTCTTTGTATGTTATGTTTTTCTATTGTCCCAATTAGAAAGGAGGATGCTTATCCCTTCTGTTAATTGTTAGTTGGGTGGTAGATGATTAAATAAATTGATATTTATTAGATGACACTAGCTGTCTTGTTCACCTGCAGACCTTCTTGAAAAGTTCTTTGTAGAACTTAGTAGACTATATATGAGTATTACATGTTATAAATATGTACTAGCATTGTATGCATATTTCTCAATGTTACTAAAAATGAATATAGATCAAATGAATTGGAGGGTAAGGAAACAAAGTGTTTTTTTGGGGAAATTTAGAAATATATATATTATAGAGAAAAAAGTCTTATACATAAACTTCACAATATGTTTTAAAATTAATATTTAATATTATTTTTTAATTAGGTAGAGATCTTTTCCTAGCAAGCTGTTCACAAGATTGCCTAATAAGAATATGGAAGCTGTATATAAAGTCAACATCTTCAGAAACTCAGGATGCCGATAACATAAGACTGAAAGAAAATACTTTTACCATAGAAAATGAAAGTGAGTAATAATGAAAATATCTGATAGAACAATACTTAGGTCTCCTAGTTGGTTGATTTTTTTTTTCACCACCCACCTATGTGAAGGTTAGTTTTTCACAAGTGTTAGATTCCTAGATTCCTACTTCCTTTTTCTTTCTTTCTTTTTTTTTTTTTGAGACAGAGTTTCGCTTCTTCCCCTAGGCTGGAGTGCGGTGGCGTGATCTTGGCTCACTGCGACCTCTGCCTCCCAGGTTTGAGCAATTCTCCTGCCTCAGCCTCCCAGGTAGCTGGGATTACAGGCACGCATCACCATGCCTAGCTAATTTTATTGTATTTTTAGTAGAAATGGGGTTTCACCATGTTAGCCAGTCTGGTCTTGAACTTCTGACCTCAGGTGATCTGCCTGCCTCAGCCTCCCAAAGTGCTGGGATTACAGGTGTGAGCCGCTGTGCCTGACCTCTTTTTGTTTTTTTTTGAGACATCTTACCCAGGCTGGAGTGCAGTGGCATAATCACAGCTCACTGCAGCCTTGAACTCCTTGGCTCAAATGGCTTAGCTTCCTGAGTAGCGAGGACTATGCCATCACACCCAGCTAATTTTTAATTTTTTTTGTAGTGATGGAGTCTTGCTATGTTGCCCAGGCTGTTTTTCAACTACTGGCCTCAAATGATCCTTCCACCTTGGTGTCCTAAAGTGTTGGGATTACAGTTGTGGGCCACCATTCTTGGCGTGATACTTTGTATTTTCCCATTTTTATGTGAGAGTGAGTCATTTTTCATATGTGAAATAGTTTTCTTCTAAACCATATTAGTAAGATTTTTTAAGTTGCTGAGAATAATGTTTAGTGCTTCTCAATAATTTGTAAAATATTACTAGATTTGCAGTTTTAGCATAGGAAGACCTAAAGGAATAATGTAAATTACTTATACATTTTATTGGCCTATAATAAAAGACAAGCTAAATCTCACCATTTGAGTAGTATATTTAATTCTGATTTTCCTGTTGTCTAGCCTTAGAACAGTATCCCTGCATGGTAGATGCTGTTGGGATGTTGTTTTTGAAAGAGATGTTTTTGGATGTGTCAGTTATAAAGGTAGTTCTCAGCATTGTTCACCTAGGTGTATTCTGTTTCTTGTTACTATTCTTGGTTGTAAAGTCCATCAGAGTTGAGATTTTAGTGACAGTTTTATGGGGAGAATGAAGAAATTATATAACCAGCATATTAGGAGTAGCTATACCCAAATATTAATTTTTTTCTATTTTCATTATATTGTTTGAAAGGTCAAAATACTGGTTTCATTTTCTTTATTTCTGCATTTATCCTTTAAAAAAATGGAATTTGTAGTTGTCCATTCTTATGCTTCTATAAAGAACTTCCCGAGACTGGGTAATTTGTAAGAGAAAGAGGTTTGCTTGACTCACAGTTCTGCAAAGCTGAGGAGGCTTCAGGAAACAAATTCATAGCAGAAGGGGAAGCAGGCATCTTCTTCACAGGGCATCTCCCACCAGATCCTTTCCTTGACATGTGGGTCTTGGGGGGATTACAATTCAAGATGAGATTTAGGTGAGGACACAGAACCAAACCATATCAGTATTTTAGGCTATTATATTCTTATAGTGAGTGAGGATAATAAGGAGGCTGGCATGACTTTTTTTTTCCTCATGGTAGTTTAACAGTGGCTGTCTCAGAAAATTGTAAAAACAGAAGATTTTCCTTCATATTTATTTATAACCAGCTAGAACAAAATATAAGGAAAAATATCTAACTTTTTCTCCTGTAATTTTGAACAGCAGTTGAGGTTAAAGAAATTTAGAATGCATGTTCTTTTTTTGAATCCTAACTATCATATTTTGTCCTAATTTTTTTTTTACATAATTGCCCAACTGGCTTGGTTATGGAAATTTTCTTTTTAGAAGAACTTTGAGGAAATAATACCTTCATTGCTTTTGTTATAGGTGTTAAAATAGCATTTGCTATTACTCTGGAGACAGTGCTGGCTGGTCATGAAAACTGGGTAAATGCAGTTCACTGGCAACCTGTGTTTTACAAAGGTAGGAAGAAAACCATACACATATTCCTTACTCCAGTTAGATCTTATGGCATGGCAAGCTGACCAAATCAAGTGTAAATTGTTTTAGTGTGATTAGAAATCTCAAATACAAGACATTTTCAAGTTGACAAAGTGTAGTACTGCATTCCTGGTGTGCTAGACACTCAATTCTATTGAACATTGAACTCCTAAGTGGGAAAAGTGTGATTCCTGCCATGATGCTGAGACTACCACACCCCCATTAACTTTTTATCTTAAAAGTTTCCACTTGATTATTATGGAATTTAAGAAAAACTGACTTTCAGGCCAACTTCACTGGATCCTTTACCCTCGGTAATAACAAAGTTGGTACCACTGAGATACATTATTTATGAGAAAGTAAGACTCTGTTACTGCTTCTTTCTTTTGCCGTTTATCTCCATTTATGAAGTGGCAGTTCTGTGCATGTTCAGGCTGGTGCTAGGTTTATAGCTACGTGAGGCATAGCCTCACATTCTTCCCTGGCCTCTTCCCCAAGGCAATAACAGCAATAATTAATTCTTAGGCAAACCACCATTCAGCTTTTCCTTACATTATGCCATGTTTGCTATAATTTAAAAAACAAAAAAGTTGGAATGATAGATATTGAAGACCCCTGTCGTATGTTCTTTCCTGAACATTTCCTCTTCATCCTTCTCTAGAGGCAATTACAGTACTGAATTCAGTGCATATCATTTTCATGCATGTTTTTATGCTGTTGCTACATATCTATATAGCTATAAACAATATTGTTTTATAGCTATTGAAATGATACCAATATGTATTTATTCTTTTACAGCTTGCCTTTTTAGCTTACCATGTTTTGGAGCTGTATCCATGTTGATTTGTGAAGCTCTAGTTATTTGTTTTTATTGCACGGTAGTAGTCTATTGTCTGAATATCCTACAACCAATTTATCTCTTCTTCCAATGGTAGACATTTGTGGTGTTTGCAACTTTTTGCAATTACAAATAATGCTGCAGTGAACATCCTTGCAGTACCCGTGTTGTTTGTTGTGTTTTTCTGGTCATCTACAAACATGATGCTTGTTGATCACCTAAAGGGATTAGGTTTTATTTTTTAGATGGTGTTCTACAGCAGCCAATGAGATTATTGTCTGCTTCCATGGATAAAAGCATGATTCTCTGGGCTCCAGATGAAGACTCAGGAGTTTGGCTAGAACAGGTAAGAGTGTTGGATATTTAAGGAACAGAAAATTAAGTTTTGAACTCTGTATTTAAATCCTAAGTCTATATTGATACACCTGCAGATTTTCACTGTGTACATTAAAATAGTGGGAATTTAACAGTCTCTGGAATCAGTGGTTGCTGTTGTGAGAAATGTAGACTATTGATTAAGAATTGTTTTCTGTCTGTTATTGTACAGGTTCGAGTAGGTGAAGTAGGTGGGAATACTTTGGGATTTTATGATTGCCAGTTCAATGAAGATGGCTCCATGATCATTGCTCATGCTTTCCACGGAGCGTTGCACCTTTGGAAACAGAATACAGTTAACCCAGTAAGAAAAGAGTGTTTAAATAAAGCATTTCTAATCAAATAGAACGCATCCTAGGTAAATAGTATTTTACTTATAACAGTCTACAGAAACATAGTAGAGGCACTTTAAGTTCAAGTGACACAACTTTTTTCTGTAGACATTGTTAAGGTATTGAAATTTGCATGTAGGTAAATTTTCTACATAAGTGTACTGTATTCCTTTAAGCTATATAATTTTTTAATGAGAATTTTTCTGAAATGTGTAACTTTCCTGTCTTCTTAAAAAGTTAACATAATTGGATATCTTGTTGGACTGCTAGATCCCTGTTATTGAATGAATGTCAGTAATTTATTGTGACTGACATTCAACACCTGGGCATGGTAGCTCATGCCTGTAATCTTAGGAACTTGAAAGGCTGAGATGAAGGATTGCTTGAAGCTAGGAGTTTCAGAACAGCCTTGGTGACAGAATAAGACCCTGTCTCCAAAAAAAAAAAACAAAAAACAAAAAAAACAAAGAGGTAGTCTTCTCCCTTTAGTCATGTAACTGTCTCTCTACAGCATTCCTTCTCTTACTTTGTAATCTCATTTGCTTCTTATCTGCTTCTAGTTTGGGAAGATTAGATAGCAAAAACAGAGTGGCCAAGAGCACAGGCCCTTGGAGCTAGACAGCCTGGGTTCACTTACTAGCTATGTGTCTTTGAAGACATTAGTTAATCCCTGTCTCAGGTTCCTCATTTGTAAAATATGGGTAGTTTTTTTTTTTTTTTTTAAACAGGATCTCACTGTCACTCTGTGTGATCATAGCTCACTGTAACCTCATTTTCCTGGGGTTAAGCCATCCTCACGCTTCAACTTCCTGAGTAGCCGGGACTATAGGTGCGCATCAGACCCAGCTAATATTTAAAAAATTTTTATAGACACAGGGTCTTGCTTTGTTGCCCAGCCTGGTCCTGAACTCCTGGCTTGAAGTGATCCTCCCACCTCAGTCTCCCAAAGTGCTGGGATTGCAGGTGTGAGCCACTGCATCTGGCATGTGGATTGTTAATAGCATCTACTTACAGGGTGTTTTTTTGTTTTTTGTTTTTTGAGATGGAGTTTCGCTCTTCTTGCCCAGGTTGGAGTGCAATGGCGTGATCTCGGTTCATTGCAACTTCCGCCTCCCAGGTTCAAGCGATTCTTCTGCCTCAGCCTCCTGAGTAGCTGGGATTACAGGCGCCTACCACCATGCCTGGCTAATTTTGTATTTTTAGTAGAGATGGAGTTTCACCATGTTGGCCAGCCTGGTCTCGAACTCCTGACCTCAGGTGATTCACCCAGCTTGGCCTCCCAAAGTGCTGGGATTATAAGTATGAGCCACCGCACCCGGCCTGCTGGCAGGGTTTAAAGGCTTAAATGAGTTAACATTTATATGATATGCAAAACAAGGCCTGGCACATACTGGATGCTCTATAAGTGTATTTTATTTTATTATTGTTTTTAATTAACATCTACTGGTTTTTTATAAAGGATATTGCAAAGGAAACAGAGGAAGAGATATGTAGGGTGAGGTACGGGAGAAGGGGTGCCAAGCTTCCATGCCCTCCCTGGCCGTGCTGCCCTCCAGGAACCTCCATGTGCTTAGCTATTCGGAAGCTCCCTGAACTGTGTCCTCTTTGGTTTTATGGCAGCTTCATGACATCAGCATTTTTTTCTCCCAGAGTGGAACCCTCTCATGATCGGGTTTAAGACACAAAATCAAACAGGTGGGGAAGATTAGAGGCCTGGCCCTGAAGCCTAACATACCCAACATTGTAACTGAAGACTGTAACAAGGGCTATGGGAGTTTCGAGCCAGGAACTTTTGTCAGAGAAAACCAGTGTATGTAACACCTCAGGCCAGGGATCCCTCAGGCCAGGGATCCTTCACATCAAAAAATATAGGCTGGGTGTGGTGGCTCATGCTAGTAATCCCAGCACTTTGGGAGGCCAAGGCGGGAGGATTACTTGAGCCCAGGAGCTTGAGACCAGTCTGGGCAACATAGGGAGACCCTGTCTGTACAAATAATTTTAAAAATTAGCCATGGGCATGCAGCCCTGGGCATCGTTGCAGGTGCCTGTGGTCACAGCTACTTGGGAGGCTGACGCAGGAGGATTGTGTGAGCCTGGGAAGTTGAGGCTGCAGTGAGCCATGGTTATGCTACTGCATTCCAGCCTGGGTGATAGAGCAAGACCCTGTCTCAAGAAAAAAAAAATGTGTACACGCACAGTCCAGTCCCTCATACTGTATGAATGTCTCCCAGGATGAGACCACTCAGGTTTGCAGATTTCCTTCAATCTTGTCAGGTTTCAGAAGGAGTAGCCTCAGTAAATATTGTATACAACTTTACTCGTTAAGGTATCTGGGATAATTGAGCTAAGACACAATGTCATCTCTTGCTCTGAGACTCTTATAAGTTGTTAATGTGATACTGAATTTTCCTCAATGACCCATTTATTCATTTCTTTACTCTCAGCTACTATTTCTCCTTCTCTCCATTAATACCCACATTTAATTTTCCTTTAAAGGTTAAGTTTTAGTCCCTCTTGAGGTTGTTCAAAAAGATGCTCTGTGGACCAGGCATATGACTTTTTCTATATTTTGTTGTCATTATTTGTTTATATGGTTATTGTTGCAGGCTTCTTAATAGGTGGACCAACTAGGTTTGATTCATTTTTCTGTCCTCTACACCTATAACTCTTTTTACTTAATAAAGCCATCAGGCCCACATGCAGAAGCCACTGACTCGTTTTACACAATATTTTTACATTTTATACAATTTTTATTTAGTTTAATAAATACATAGAACCTAGTATGTACTAGAATTGTCCTGTGTACTTTACAAATGTAACTCATTTAATCCTCATAATAACCCTAGAAGGTAAGTGTTATTATAATAACTGTTTTATTCTATAATTGAGACACAGAAAGGTTAAGTAGTATCTGGCTGCTCAATAAATGATGAATGGAAGGAAATTTCCCACAGTTACTGATTTAAAGGATACAACACGTATTTGAATGCTTAAGCATTCGAATGGATGCTGTGGAAAATGGATCCTGTTATTCTGTGGTGCGATCTTGTATACTTAGCTTTTCACCTTGCCAGAGGGCTTTAGTCTTCTCTGTTAGCAGACATGAGTGCTTTACTGTGGTGGTAGTCTTTGAGTATTTTGATATGTGTCATGAACACTTTCATTGCAGAGAGAGTGGACTCCAGAGATTGTCATTTCCGGACACTTTGATGGTGTCCAAGACCTAGTCTGGGATCCAGAAGGGGAATTTATTATCACTGTTGGTACTGATCAGACAACTAGACTTTTTGCTCCATGGAAGAGAAAAGACCAATCACAGGTAAAATGTCTTATTTATTTATTTATTTATTTTTTTCTTGGGATGGAGTTTCACGTCACCCAGGCTGCAGTGCAATGGCATGATCTCAGCTCACTGCAGCCTCTACCTCCCAGGTTCAAGCGATTCTCCTGTCTCAGCCATCTGAGTAGCTGGGATTATAGGTGCCCACCACCACACCCACCTACTTTTCGTATTTTTAGTAGAGACAGGGTTTTACCATGTTGGCCAGACAGGTCTCGAACTCCTGACCTCAGGTGATCCACCCCCCTCATTCTCCCAAAGTGCTGGGTTACAGACATGAGCCACCGCAGCTGGTCTCTTCTTATTTTACTAAATGTATTTAAAAGAAAACATCCATGAACACAAGAAAGGTAGGGCAGCCATGCTAGCCATTAGGAAAATGCAAATTAGAACCATGATGAGATACCACCACATACCCTCTTGAATAGCTAAAGTAAAAAATATATTAACAGGTGCTGGTAAGGATGCAGAGCAACTGGAACTTCATACATTGCTACTGGGGATGCAGAATGATACAGCCACTCTGGAAAACAGTTGGACATTTTATTTTTTATTTTTTGTAGAGACAGGATCTTGTTATGTTCCTCAGGCTGGCCTTGAACTCTGGGCCTCAGGTGATCCTCCTGCCTCAGCCTCCCAAGTAACTAAGACTACATATGTGAGCCACCGTGCCCAGCTAATTTTTAGATTTTTTGTAGAGACAGGGTCTTGCTCTGTTGCCCAGTTTCGTTATGTCTTGTAATTTTAGGTTTAATTCATTAGGAAGCATTATCAAGTGTACAATAAAAGCCTGAAGTCATATAGTGTTAGGTAATAGTAGTGAGGGCAGTTCTTGTTTAAGGAAATTTTCACTGTGTTAGGCAACTAGAATAAAACAATGTAAAAGATGGATCCTGTTTTCAAGGAGTTTACCATCTAGCTATAGGGTAGGGCTATAGGTAGGGGGCAGTGGAACTAATGTTTCTGTAATTATTGGATGAAACCAGTTAATTGCTAACTGTTGGCCCTGAGCTCAAACAATTGTAAAACTTCACTACTGGTAAACTTTGAACTGCTATGTGGTAGAGAAAATCAGGATCCTCTGCTTCAGTTTCTGACAGAAATTCATGGAACTGACTATGGGTCAGTCCGTAAGAGCTAAGGAAGTTTGCCACTAACACTACTGCTTCAGTAACACATGGCAGATTCAAATAAACAGAGTTGAGAACTTCGGGAACAGCATCTATAGTCAATTGAAAAACAAGTCAAATGATTTTGAGTGATTTTCTGTGGCTCTTGGTAATTGTTACCAATACTGCCCAGTTGTGGTTTATTCATGGATGAATTTGCCCTATGGTTATATTTCCATTGTATAGTAAATAATTTTCATCTAATAATTTGCTTGTTGAAAATTCAGCTTTGGAATGATCATTTTTGTTTATCCTGTTTTACCCAGGTGACTTGGCATGAAATTGCAAGGCCTCAGATACATGGGTATGACCTGAAATGTTTGGCAATGATTAATCGGTTTCAGTTTGTATCTGGAGCAGATGAAAAAGTTCTTCGAGTTTTTTCTGCACCTCGGAATTTTGTGGAAAATTTTTGTGCCATTACAGGAAAATCACTGAATCATGTGCTTTGTAACGTGAGTATTTCTCTAAATATTTTACCTAAATCTAGTCCCTTCATTTTAAATTTAAAAAGATTTTTGCCTTGGGCTTTAAATGGAATATATAGGTAGAAGGAAAGTAATATTGTTTCTTAATGGTTTGACAAACTTTTTTGTGCACTGTGGGCTGTAATGATTTAAATACTAAAACCAGAAATTTTGTGTACCATATGAGCTCAAAATACTATAAAGCTGCATTAATGTTCAATTGAGACATGAATACGATGTTTTATCACTGTGTTAGGTACCTAGAATAAAACAAAATAAAAGATGGATACTGTTTTCAAGGAGATTACCATCTAGCTGTAGCGTAGAGGTAGAGGTAGGGGACGGTAGAACTAATGTATCTGCAGTTATTGGATGAGACCAGTTAATTGCTAAATCTTCTGGTACTAAAGTAAATTTCATAGAAGGAAGAGGTCATTATATTGGAATAATGAGAACATGTTTATTGGGACTTCATTTGGGTGTTGTAAGGGTCTTTTTTTTATGTTTATATGCCCTTCTAAAAAAGATTTGAACTACTTATAAAAATACATGGATTATAAAAGTTACGAAGTAATTTTGAAAGAAAGAAAATTAGGAAGATAGGTTACACAGAAGTACATATTATACAGCCCTTCACTTAGAGTTGAGTCACAAATTTGGTTCTGAGCTCGAAAAGAAAAGTACCCTTTTGATAGGCAAAAAGAAGGAGGGGGAGAAAGAGAGCGAGCGAGCGCAAAGGGGAGGCCAGAGCTGTTGTGGTACCTCTTGGAATGAAGACTGGATAGAAGTGGAGAGCATGGGGAAAGTCCATGGTGGAGGATCTTGGGAGGCAGGCACAGTCCGACTGTGGGGTGCTGTTGGAGGCTCCTACACAAAGAGTGATGAAAAGCATTTTGGAAGAGAGTTATCTGGAAGCTAAGAGACTCTGAAGGCCGTGAAACTAGCACCAGTCTGTTTAAGACTGGAGAAGAAAATGAAATTCATTAGAAATGAAGTATCCAACTAAAATTCCTGGAGTGTATACTCAGCACCTCATGCTACAGGCTTTCTTGATTATGTGAAGAGGATTTAAGATTCTGTTGTGCTTGTTTCTAATAATGGACAATAGGAACAAAATCAAAAGGAAAGTCTTGATTGTGGTTATTATGTAGAGCTAAGCATATGGAGGTGGAGGGGCAGCTAGTTTCAGGATCTGTTCAGTTCTAGGAATTGAAATGGGGTTTTAGGGTCCCATGAGAGGCTTAGTCCCAGTTGTACACTTAGTTCTGTGTCCTAAGATACAGGGATCCTGTAGAGTGGCGAGGCGAGCTGCTTGCTCTCGTTTGGGTTTTGCTCCCATACTAAGTGTTGGGATAGGTATGTAGGAATGCCTCTTACTGTTCTTTTCCATGTTAGTTTTTCTTGGTTTCTGAGATAAAGCATACTGTTTCTTGTGTCCCAGGTAGCCATTTTTGATGGTTTTAAATTCTTACCGTTCATGTTTGTGTCTAGTTTCAGCTTCCATATTAAAGTCTAAATTGTACGGAACACTCTTAGCAAATGAGCATGTGCCAGTTTTGATGGTTAGCATATAGTTTCACATATAATAATTTGATTGATATAAATTGCAAAATCTAAGCAGATAATTGCCTTTTCAAATGGCACTCATACAAAGTTTTTAAATACTCAGTTAGTTAGATACACTTAGTGAAAATACTATGACTAATGCTGTAACTGTTCCCTTCTGGGAAGCATCTGTGTCTATATGAGCATCATCAGGGGATGTGCCTGTGAGATTGTCTTGAAAGTAGAGCTCTGGGCCTTCCATTTTCAGCCCACTGCATTTCCTGTCAGACCCTGAAACCCATTGAAATGTTATGGTTCAATGAGATCCCTTTATGGATGAGAGGATGCCCAACTTTATGGATTGCATGGGAGCTAGACGCCTGGTAGGGCCTGTCTGTTGGAGAGTGATTGCTTAGCATTGCATTATTGGTTCAGAAAGTGAAAGTATGGGTAGACATCCACACAAGATGGTCTTTAAACTGTTTCTCGGCATTTATGAGCATGATTTTTTTGTAGTGTCTGAAGTAACAGTAACTTTTAGTTATAAAATTAGCATGTAAAACTTTAGCATTTAAAACTTAGATATTATATTTTCTATTCTAGCAAGATAGTGATCTTCCAGAAGGAGCCACTGTCCCTGCGTTGGGATTATCAAATAAAGCTATCTTTCAGGGTAAGGCTTTTGTCTTCAAAATTATTAAACCCATAGTGGTACTTAAACCCCAGTCACACACTTGTGTAATGTCTACCTAATGTTTGTTACAGCTGATTTTTTTAAAATCACAATATATGTGTCTATCTTTTCTATCACCTATTTTGTGATAAGTACTCTTTGTACACACTCAGACCACTGAAGTAGATGCAGTTTTCACAAAGCAAGTTTTCTTTCTTTTTTTTTTTTTGAGACAGAGTCTTGCTCTGTCGTTCAGGCTAGAGTGCAGTGGTGCGATCTCAGCTCACTACAACCTACGCCCTTCGCCTCCTGGCTTCAAGCAATTCTCCTGCCTCAGCCTCCCGAGTAGCTGGGACTACAGGCATGCGCCACCACGCCCAGCTAATTTTTTGTGTTTTTAGTAGAGACAGGGTTTCACCGTATTGGCCAGACTGGTCTGGAACTCCTGACCTCAGGTGATCCACCTGCCTTGGCCTCCCAAACTGCTGGTATTACAGGTGTGAGCCATCACGCCCTGCCACAAAGCATGTTTTTTGGTGTTAGAACTACAGATGAGAATGTGGGTAACCTGAAGAATTGGTTGTGTAGTTTTAAAAGTTTGGAAACTGATAGGTCAAAGAAAATGGGAAGAACCTTTATGGAGTTGATTAATGCCGCCAGGAGCATGTTTGGAAAATACTGGAGTAATGGAAATACTCTTGCCTTTGGAATCACATGGACACAGCTGTGAATTACACCACTTTGAATTACCACTGCTTTCTATCTGGTGGCCTTAATATTGAGACAAGCAAAGGAGATATAAAAGTAGTGACCATATTCTTGATGTGTTTCTTCAAACTAGGAGATATAGCTTCTCAGCCTTCTGATGAAGAGGAGCTGTTAACTAGTACTGGTTTTGAGTATCAGCAGGTGGCCTTTCAGCCCTCCATACTTACTGGTAAGAAGTGACAAAAACAATGTAATAAATCACTAGAACACACAGTATGTTATCTATTGCTGCTGACCTAAATAAGTGCTATAGAATTCACTTCTGTGAATTTGGATGAACATAGAAAAAAATAGGTTCAATTTATTCTAGAGCCTCCCACTGAGGATCATCTTCTGCAGAATACTTTGTGGCCTGAAGTTCAAAAACTGTAAGTTAGACTGTATTTAGCTCTTTGGTCTGATTCTGTCATAACTTGTGATTTTTCCTTCCCACCCCACAATTTGATTTCTCCTTTTTCTTCCTTCTACCTATCATTTTCCTCCTCCTCTATATATCTCTTAGTGGCTCTTCATAAGGAATGAGAATTAAACCTCACATTTATTTCTATATTACTATTTATTGTGTTCATTAGTTTTGTTTATTCATCTTATTCTTAAAGTAGAGAAGCATAACATTATGTATTTTTTCTTTGTTAAAAAGACTTGGCTGGGTACAGTGGCTCACACTTGTAATCCCAGCACTTTGGGAGGCCATAGCAGGAGGATCACTTGAGGCCAGGAGTTTGAGACCAGCCTTGACAATGTAGCGAGACCCCATCTCTACAAAAAATTTTAAAAAATTAGCCAGGCATGATGATGCATGCCTGTAGTCCCAAGCTACTCGAGAGGCTGCGGCTGGAGGATTGCTTCTGCCCAGGAATTTGAGGCTGCAGTGAGCCATGATTGCACCACTGCACCCCAGCCTGGGTGACAGAATGAGACTTAGCCTTGAAAAAAAAAAAAAAAAAAAGTTTTGTTGTTAGTCATGGTTTTTTGGTCTTTGATAGTTCCTGATGAAAACCTTTCCATGGTTTATTGTTTAGATACTGGCTGGTTGAAAGTAGGAGGTGAAAACTTGTATGTTAATTGTTTGAATGAGTTATATTACTTATAGGAAGCTGGCATTTTTCTCCTATCTCCCTGTCTTTCTCTCAAATGTTTACCTAGATGAACATATAATGTTCCTCAAAAGAATTGTTTGTTAGCTAAAGAGATTGATGTTACTCTTTTTACTTTCAAAAATTGTGTGGCATGAGAATAGATTTATTTGCTAATAGTATATATTTTTCTTTTTAAATTTTAGATATGGGCATGGTTATGAAATATTTTGTGTTACTTGTAACAGTTCAAAGACTCTGCTTGCCTCAGCTTGTAAGGTAGGCAATTTTACTTTTGATTCTGCTTGGTCACAGGTTATTTGGGTCATCAGGCTCCTGCAAGTTTGGTAATGATTTAGGCAGAACTCTATGTGAAAGGCCACTAATCCTTGGTTTTTTGAATCTTACTTTCTCAATTTCTCTTACCCTTCTGTCTCTTCAAAAGCTTATGGTTTCATTTTAAGTCTGTTTCAGCTGCACATTTTGAGCTTATCTGTGCCCCCCTACTAAAAGTGATTTAATCAAATATCTCAAAATGACAACTGGAATCCCAGCTACTCAGGAGGCTGAGACATGAGAATCACTGGAACTCCAGAGGCAGAAGTTGGAGTGAGTCAAGATCGCGCCACTGCACTCCAGCTTGGGTGACAGAGTGAGACTCTGCATATAAAACAAGGATATCTCAAAATGATGCTAAAAATGTGATAAATTTTAAATAATTGGAGTCCTAGAGACACAGGGAAATGAGAAGAGGAAATCTGGAGTGAAGTCCATCAGACTTTATTTGAGGACACTCTTGGCACTGACCTAAGGCAGATGACTTTTGCATTTACTTAGAAGGATGATCTTGAATTCATCATTCAGTATTTATCCATATCCTATGGAGATAGCAATTATGGAGGATTATCTGAAGGGTCTGAAACCCACACATTCCTCTTAAATTTTCTGAAATTTATTTACTTGTTTTAAATATGATGGTAAGAGCTGCCCACCTGCATGGGCTCGTGTCCCTGCCATTACTGTGGATTTATGCCGTTGATCTGCATTGAGAGGCATCTTAAGAAATACTGCTGTGCTTCCCCTACACCCACCACTACCCCACTTGTTTATTCTTTGAAATGGTACTGAGAGGACTTCCTTCTCTTATAGGAGCCTTTGGGGAGAATGGAGTTCAGTAGTTCAACTGTCTGGGCTTCTACTGGGCAGATAATTTGTTTCTAACTTAGGGCACTGTGAATCCTGTAATTGATTTTTTTTTCCCCTTTTCAAGTTGACTCACAAGATGTACATCCTCTAAACATTTTTTAAACAGCTGTATTTAGGGTTATTAACATACTATAAATTGTATGTTTAATGTGAACAATTTGATAAGTTTTGACATGTTTATCCCTGTATAAATCATCATTACAATCAAGAAACTGCATATATCCATCAACCCCCAACATTTTCTATGCTCTTTGGCAATTCCTCTTTTTTACCTCTCCCTTTCCCCTCCTGCCTCCATCCCTAGGAAACCATTAGTCTGCTTTTTGTCATGATACAGTAGTTTGCATTTTCTAAAATTGTATATAAATAGGATCATGTAAGTATGTACTTTTTTGGTTTTGCTGCTTTCATTCATCATAACTGTTTGAGATTTATCCATGTTTTTGCATGCGTCAGTAGTTCATGCCTTCTTAATGCTGAGTAGTTTTACCTCGTACAGATGTACCACCATTTGTTGATCCATTCACTTATTAATGGACATTTGGGTTGTTTTCCAGTTTTGGGCTTTTAGCGATGGTACAGTTATGAAAATTTATGTACAAGTCTTTGCATGGATATATGCTTTCATTCTCTTGAGTACATAACTGTGAGTGGAATTGTTGGATGGTATGGTAGATATATATTTAAAATTTTAAGACATTGACATGCTGTGTTCCCCAGTGGTTACACGTTTTTGCAGCAGTGTATTAGATTTCCAGTTGCTCTGTACCCTCACCAGCACTTAATATCAGTCTTTTTAACTTTTAACCATTCTAGTAAGTGTGTAACAGCTATTTATGGCTGTAATTTGTATTTGTCTAATGATATTAAGCATCTTTTCATGTGCTAATTTTTTATCCATATGAAAATATGGTGAAACTACTCAAATCTTTTGCCCATTTATTTATTAGATTGTTTTCTTACTGAGTTTTGAAAAGTTTTTAAAATTTTTTTTTATAGATTTAGGAGTACAAGTGCAACTGTGTTACATGGATATATTGTGTCTTGTTGAACTCTGGATTTTAGCATACCCATCACCTGAATAGTATACATTGTACCTTGAGTATTTCATTCCTCAACCCTTCCCACCTTTTTGATTCTCCAGTGTCTACTATTATTCCACACTGTATGTCCATGTGTACCCATTGCTTAGCTCCTACTTGTAAGCAAGGATGTCTGGTTTTTGGCTTTCTGCTTCTGAGTCATTTCACCACTTAGGAGAATGGCTTCTAGTTCCATCCATTTTGCTGCAGAAGAAATGATTTCATTGTTTTTTATGGCTGAGTAGTAGTTCATGGAGGGGGTGGTGTGTGTGTGTGTATAGACACCACATTTTAAAAACCAATTATCCATTGATGGACACTGAACAGTTTTTTATATACCCTGGATACAACTTTATCAGATGTGCTTATGTAGATATTTTTTCCCAGTGGCTTGTCATTCTTCTAACAGTGTCTTTCAAATGGCAGATGTTTTATGATTTGTTGAAGTCCAGTTTATCAATTTTTTTTAAATTTAGGTTGTGTCCTTCTTATATCTAATCTTTAACTCAAGGTCACAAGGATTTTTCTGTTGTGTTTTGTTCAAGGAGTTCCATGGGTTTTTAACTTTTGCCTTTAGACCTATGATACTTTCAAATTAATTCATGTATTTGTCATGGAATATAGATTAAAGTTGATTTTCTTTTATTGTAGATACCAGTTTCAGCATCATTTTTTAAAAAGACTATCCCCTTCATCACTGTGTTTTGTCCCTTTGTCTAAAGTCACTTGTTCATATATGTGGGTCTGTTCCCTAGACTTTATTGGGTTGTATTGATCTTTTTTGATATGATGCCAGTACCATACTCTCTTAGTAACTATAGTGTTTTAATAATATATCTTGAAATTAGGAAGTATAGAGTTATTTTGGCTATAGTAGATCCTTTATTTTGCATTTTAGAATCAGCTTAAGAGTTTCTACAAAAATACCTGCAGGAATTTTAATGGAGATGGCATTGATTCTCTAGATTAATTTGGGGAGAATTTTAACAATATTGAGTATTTTGACATATGAATGCAATATATCTGTCATTCCTTCAGGTCTTTAATTTCTCTCAGGATTGATCTTTTTAAAAGTAAACCATTTATTTTGGAATAATTTTCATTCTTTTTCCCCCTCCATGTCACAGTTTTTCATTTCATTTTTTCCCCCTCCATGTCACAGTTTTGATCATGGAATAATTTTTTAAGATCTGAGAGCTACAGTGAAAAGGGAAAAAAAAAAAAAAGAAAGCATGATAATATTAGTCCCTGATGATTCATTTTTTCTAATCCCAGTCATCTGGAATTCTTCCCAGAGATTAGAAATGGTTGTAGTATGTTATCTCCTAGGAATTTTTTTTGGAATTCAAACAGATAAATAAAATATACTCATAGAAACAATGTGTTGTTTTTAAAATGGTTTCTCTTCAGTTTTTTAGTTACTAGCTTTATTGTTTCATCTCTGTCCTACAGGCAGCTAAGAAAGAGCATGCAGCTATCATTCTTTGGAACACTACATCTTGGAAACAGGTGCAGAATTTAGTTTTCCACAGTTTGACAGTTACGCAGATGGCCTTCTCACCCAACGACAAGTTCTTACTGGCTGTTTCCAGAGATCGAACCTGGTCATTGTGGAAAAAGCAGGATACAGTCTCACCTGAATTCGGTAAAACAGCTTCTGATTGGGAAAGTTACTAGTGAAACAGTTATGTCCATTTTATCTACATTAAGCAGCTTTAGTTAAGACAAAGATAACAGAGTAAAGGGTAGAGCCTCATGTCTTTGAAGCCTTTCAAAGTTCTTGGATAACTGAGGAAGACTTGACCTTCCTCATAGGATTTAAATGGAGATGATCTTTGTTTGGGTTGACCTACTTGTGATTATGTAGTCAAGATGGCATGTATTCAGATATCTCAGTTCAAGAAACATAAACGTCTGTATGTAGGAAGTTAGGTTTTGCAAATGGTGATAGAATGCTACCACAAAACCTAATGGATGACATATCCTGAACTAGGATTTTATGGGATAGGAATAATGAAGATACAACTAAGAAAACTCATGGTTGAGTGGTTTCTTCTCTCTGAACTATTTTATTAATATAGTACTATTTTAAATTATGAAATATAGAGGAAACCATTATCCTTAGCTTTTTCCTACCCTCTGCAGTCACTTCCTTCATTGAGAAGGGCATACTAGGCATCCATCTGGATAACATGACCCCTGAGCAAGGTGTTAGCCCACCTACCCACATTCTACTCTGAACCTGGCATAAACTGAAAAAAAAAAAGAGGACTAAAAACCTTTGTGTAGTCGGGGCAGTGGCCTATTCTTATTCCCCCAGTTTCTTTTGGTGGATAAGTTCTAGAGAGTGTTTAAAGTATATTTAAGTTGTTTAATCCTGTTTTTAATTTTTCCATTGATAAGACTCACATACAGTTTGGTTTTGTGATATTTCTAGTCTCTTTGTTTCTTGTGTTTTAGAGAATATCCAGGGACTGTAAAGTATACTCAGCAATATGTTTTAGAACAGACTGTTTTCTTTTGCATCACGAATCTTTTCCTAACATGCAGCATTTACTGCTTAAAAAGCTAAAGTTGGCCAGGCACAGTGGCTCATGCATGTGATCCCAGCACTTTGGGAGGCCAAGGTGGATGGATCACCTGAGGTCAGGAGTTGAAGACCAGCCTGGCCAACATGGTGAAACCCCGTCTCTACTAAAAATAGAAAAATTGACCGGGCGTGGTGGTGCATGCCTGTAATCCCAGCTACTTGGGAGGCTGAGGCAGGAGAATAGTTTCAACCTGGGAGGCAGAGGTTGCCAAGATGGTACTAAGATGAGCCAAGATGGCGCCATTGCACTCCAGCTTAGGCGACAGAGCAAGACTCTGTCTCAAAAAAAAAAAAAAAATTAATTAAAGTTGGATGGGGGTGGTGGCTCACACCTGTAATCCCACCACTTTGGGAGGCTGAGGCAGGTGGATCATTTGAAGTCAGGAGTTTGAGACCAGCCTGGCCAATATGGTGAAACCCCATCTCTACTAAAAAGTGTAAAAATTAGCCAGGTATGGTGGTGCATGCCTGTAATCCCTGCTACTCAGGAGGCTGAGACAGGAGGATTGCATGAACCCGGGAGACGGAGGTTGCAGTGAGTGGAGATCCCATCACTGCACTCCAGCCTGGGCATTAGAGTGAGACTTCGTTCTCCCTGCAAAAAAACATTGTATTATTAATGTATTTATTAATGTGTTATATCTTTATGAATTATGGAGTAATAATAGATACAGTCTTATTCCCTCCTCATAAACAGTTATGTGGTTTTTGTTTTTTAGGGTTTTTTTTTTTTTTAGACGGAGTTTCCCTCTTGTTCCCCAGGCTGGAGTACAGTGGTGTGATCTTAGCTCACTGCAGCCTCCACCTTCTGGGTTCAAGCAATTCTCCTGCTTCAGCCTCCTGAGTAGCTGGGATTAAAGGCACCCGCTACCACACCTGGCTAACTTTTTGTATTTTTAGTAGAGACGGGGTTTCATCATGTTGGCCAGGCTGGTCTTGAATTCCTAACCTCAGGTGATCCACCCGCTTCTGCCTCCCAAAAGTGCAGGGATTACAGGCATGAGCCACTGTTCCTGGCCAACAGTTATGTGTGTTAGGTTTAGTCTGTATAAGGGCTAGAAGTTGCCTTACACTTAAATCTTAAAAGGAAAATATTTTCTTAAGATTTCTTTTTTTAAACATTAAGTGGTACATTAATCTTTTTTCTATAGCCTAATATGCAAATCTGCCTGCTTTGAGTACGGCTAAATAGCTTCAGGCTTCTTCTATAGGCGTGAGTTGAACTGCAGTTGAGTGTCTGGAAGATGTTTGTCATCAGTCACTAGAGAGTGACCAGTCAGTACAAAAGCATTCCCTACTAGAAAAATAACTATGTCCACAGCCTTCTGGTGAGCGGTTGTCTGGCTTCAGTCTGTTTCAAAAGTCAGTGCATATAAATTGAATATTAAGTCATATGGTGTATATGGCATTTAAACATCACTTCCTAATAGGTAAAAACCCAGCTTTCTCTGCTTTGTGAATAGTGTATACATATTTCTTTCAGAGCCAGTTTTTAGTCTTTTTGCCTTCACCAACAAAATTACTTCTGTGCACAGTAGAATTATTTGGTCTTGTGATTGGAGTCCTGATAGCAAGTATTTCTTCACTGGGAGTCGAGACAAAAAGGTAATTATTTAAAAACTTAATATTTTTTCAAATGTAAAATAATATTTGTGTAGGTATGTTTGAATAAAAAATGCATAATCCTGCCTTTCTGTTACAGCTTTTAAAAATCAGCTATGTATTCCTTTCTGTTTTTCATATATGTACATATAAAAAAAGGCTTTTCTTGTTAAATTCTATAAGTAAATTTCTCTGAAATGTCAAAAATATGAAGAGAAGACCTTTCAGACATAAGACCTTCATCAAATGGTCCCAGTGGAAGAAGAGTAATAAATGAAATTAATCAAGACCAAGAAACCAGGAGGGCAGCAAGGGAGGTAGGGGAATAAGGGAAAAACTATTTTCTAGTTTTCATACTTTTATGAATTTAACATTTTTCTATAATGAATTGTTACCTTTTCATTTGGTGCTAGAAGTGAGTGGAGTATGACTGACCCAAGCTTTAAAAAAGATCAAAACAAAGTAGCTAGGAATTTTTTTTTTTTTTTTGGAGACAAGGTCTCGGGTGCAGTGGTACAGTCACGGCTCACTGCAGCCTGGATCTCCTGGGCCCAAGCAATTCTCCCACCTCAGCCTTGGCCTCCCAAGTAGGTGGGACTACAGGTACTCACCACCACGCCCAGCCAATGTTTTAATTGTGTAGAGATGGGGTCTTGCCATGTTGCCAGGCTGGTCCTGAACTCCTGGACTCAAGCAGTCCTCTCACTTTGGCCTCCCAAAGTGTTGGAATTACAGGCATGAGCCACCACATCCAGCCTCCGAGTATGTTCTCCAACATGACCTTCACCTTTGTTCTCTGAGAAATGTCCACCTCGCCTCTAGTCTTTCCTTAGTTTTCATACTCTTTAAAATACCCTTTTGCTCCCACAGACTAAAGGTGGTGAAGCAGTTTAGTGTCGCCGTTCCTCTCCCTGCCCTCTTTAGTCACAGACACGGTACAGATCACTGAAGTGGAGGGCTAGCACAGGCAGGGTGTCACTCAAGCTAAACACCTACATGTCAGCCTCTATGGCAGACTTCATGTCTCAGACCCTCCCTTCTGTTCATTTGCCTATTCTTTCTTGGCATTGGTGTGCCTGTGCTGTGCTCAATGCTGAGGAAGAAGGACTGCTTCTGTCCCCCACAGTCATGCTGTGTTAGTCTGTTTTCACACTGCTCTAAAGAACTGCCCGAGACTGGGTAATTTATAAAGGAAAGAGGTTTAATTGACTCATAGTTCCTCAGGCCTGGGGAGGCTGCAGGAAACTTTCATTCATGGCAGAAGGCGAGGCAAACACATCCTTCTTCACATGGTGGCAGGAGAAAGAAGTGCTGAGCAAAAGGGGGAAGCCTCTTATGAAACCATCAGATCTCGTGAGAACTCACTATCTTGAGAAGAGCATGGAGGTAACTGCCCCCATGATCTGATTACCTCCTACTGGGTCCCTCCCACAACATATGGGGATTATGGGAACTACAATTCAAGATGAGATTTGGGTGGGGACACAGCCAAACCATATCACATGCCTATAGAACATGGTCCAGCTGCTACTCTCAGGGGTGGCTCCAGCAGACAAGCAGCATTTGCTGGACATTCTCTGAAATGTACTTCTGCTTGCTTGGACAAAGCCTTATGCTCAGAATCTTGCTTTGGTTCTGCATTTTGCTACTGTTGTCCACTTCACTTCTTTCTCCTTTTGATATGGAGTTTCGCTCTTGTTGCCCAGGCTGGAGTGCAGTGGCGCGATCTTGGCTCACTGCAACCCCCGCCTCCCAGGTTCAAGCGATTCTCCTGCCTCGGCCTCCTGAGTAGCTGAGATTACAGGCACCCACCACCATGCCCAGCTAATTTTTTGTATTTTTAGTAGAAACGGGGTTTCACCATGTTGGCCAGGCTGGTTTTGAGCTCCTGTCTTCAAGCAGTCCACCCATCTCTACCTCCCAATCTGCTAGGATTATAGGTGTAAGCCACCACGCCCAGCCCACTCTCCATTGCTTTGTGACCATTCACACATCCTTGAGGTATGAGCTTCCAGGGAAGCCTCATTTCTTGAGGGGTATCATGTAGGTCAGGTTTTCCTTATAGCTGAGTAGATTCCCTGAGCAATGGACAGTGTAGAGAAAGAGCTAGAAAGCTGATTAGTTCTTTTTTTTTTTTTTTTGGACGGAGTTTCACTCTTGTTGCCCAGGCTGGAGTGCAATGGTACGATCTCAGCTCACTGCAACCTCCGTTTCCTACGTTCAAGCGATTCTCCTGCCTCAGCCTCCCTAGTAGCTAGGATTACAGGCACCCACCACCATGCCCAGCTAATTTTTATATTTTTAGTAGAGATGGGGTTTCACTATGTTGGCCAAGCTGGTCTCAAACTCCTGACCTCAGGTGATACACCTGCCTTGGCCTCCCAAAGTGCTGGGATTACAGGCGTGAGCCACTGCGCCTGGCCCAAAAGCTGATTAATTCTTAAACATTTTGTAGTAGCTTCGTGGGGAAGTGCATGAGCCTACTGATGGGACTCCACTGGATCGTAACCAATTTGTGAGTGTAGAAGGCATGTTAGACACCTCTGTCTGGTCTCTGGGCAGGAGCATTTTGTCTTTGGACCAAAGTGAGCTCTCACAGACGTGTGTCTGCTGTACTGTGCCTTCTTTGTGATGCTTGAAATGTTCTCAAGTCCTGGCACATCATACACAAATGTAAATGATGCATTTAAAAAAACACCGGAGCAAATACTTTGTTGTATCTTTGCCAATGAAACTGTAGTGCATTGCTAGAAACCTTGCAGAGAGAAGGCTTTACAGTGTGTGATCTGTCTGTATTAGGTGGTTGTCTGGGGTGAGTGCGACTCCACTGATGACTGTATTGAGCATAACATTGGCCCCTGCTCCTCAGTCCTGGATGTGGGTGGGGCTGTGACAGCTGTCAGCGTCTGCCCAGCGCTCCACCCAGCGCTCCACCCTTCTCAACGGTCAGTCTCTGTGTGGGGCTTAGTTTTAAGGGGACCACTTGGTTTCTTAATACGTAACCCTCATGTCATTTCATTTGTGAATTCTCCTGGCCTCTGAGTTACTGTCTTTTTCTTTTTTTTTTTTTTTTTTTTTTTTGAGACGGAGTCTCACTCTGTCACCCAGGCTGGAGTGCAGTGGCATGATCTCTGCTCACTACAACCTCTGCCTCCTGAGTTTAAGTGATTCTCCTGCCTCAGCCTCCCAAGTAGGTGGGATTACAGGCATGCGCCACCATGCCTGGCTGATTTTTTTGCATTTTTAGTAGAGATGAGGTTTCACCATGTTGGCCGGGCAGGTCTTGATCTCCTGACCTCAAGTGATCCACCTGCCTCGGCCTCCCAAAGTGCTGGGATTACAGGCATATGCCACCGTGCCTGGCCTCAGTTACTGTCTTTTCCAAAATGGTTATGTTTCTCATAATAATTTTTGAATTGATAGAACCTAATGATTCAGAATGTAAAATACAGGTTAGGAATATGGCTCAAAGAGTCTTACTTCACCAAATCTAGGACTGTGGTACTTTTTCTGTAACAAGCATCTTCAGTGGAACAAGGGTTCCTGTAACCAGCTGGGGAAACACTGGCTCGTGGGCTTTGCCATCAGAGGATACAGATAAATCTGTGTGCAGCCCCTATAGAGTGGAGGCTCCTTGAGGACACAGCAGAGCAGTGCAGCATGTCCTGGGCTGATGCCTGCAGAGTCTTTTGCAAGGCAGGGACAGTTGGGACACTGTGAAGAACTACTTTAGAGCAATGATGGCGATAACAGAATTTCATGCTAAGTTAGTCACTTTTGTCCCCCTCCCTTAAAAACAGATATGTGGTTGCAGTAGGATTGGAGTGTGGAAAGATTTGCTTATACACCTGGAAGAAGACTGATCAAGTTCCAGAAATAAATGACTGGGCCCACTGTGTAGAAACAAGTCAAAGGTATTTCTTCCCTATTTTTGTTTCCATCAGATTAACTAGAAATTGTGGGGTCTTTTGTGGCAAATTTTATGCCACATTTTCATGGAGAGGGACATATATCTTTATTCATGGTGTCTACCACTTTGTTTTGTGGTAATCTGAAATTGATATATTGCACTTGACTTTTAAAAGTTTGCTTGACCAAATTGCTTGCATGCATAATATTGTTTTTATAAACAACCATTTGAGATGAAAGTGATTTTCGTAATGGTGTGTTTTAGAATTTGACTACAGTAGATTCTTAATTTGATTCAAAATGTTTGTGATTTTTAAACGTATTCGGATTGCACTTTGGTAGTCGTATCCTTATGATTGAACCCTTCACCTCAGATCCTGCAGTGGAGCTTTCAGGCATAGCAAGGCTTATGCCCTGGGCCTCATGCATTTGCCACCTGAGCTGGCATAGAGCACCTACTGTTTACAGCCTCCTCCCCATCCCACCCACCTAGACAGCAGGAATCACTTTTAATCTAGCCTTTTACAGGTTTTATTCTTTTTTTGTGTGTGTGAGAGACAGGGTCTCACTCTGTCACCTAGGCTGGAGTGTAGTGGCAAGATCCCAGCTCACTGCAACCTCCACCTCCCGAGCTCAATCAGTCTTCCTACCTCAGCCTCCCAGATAGCTGGGACTATAGACACGCACCACCATGCCTGGCTAATTTTTTTTTTGTATTTTTAGTAGAGATGGGGTTTCACTGTGTTGGCCAGGCTGGTCTGCATCTTCTGGGCTCAAGCAATCCTCCTGTCTTGGCCTCCCAAAGTGCTAGCGTTACAGGCATGGGCCACTGTGCCTGGCCCAGATTTTATTCTTTAAAAATGTCTAAATGTGGCTGGGTGTATTGGCTCATGCCTGTAATCCTAGCACTTTAGGACGCCAAGACGGGAGGACTGCTTGAGCCCAGGAGTTTGAGACCAGCCTGAGCAACATAGTGAGACCCCCAGTCTCTACCAGAAATAAAAGAAATTAGCCAGATGTGATGGCGCATGACTGTGGGTCCCAGCTACTTGGGAGGGTGAAGTGGGAGGATCACTTGAGCCCAGGAGGCTGAGGCTGCAGCAAACCATAATCACACCATTGCACTCCAGCCTGGGTGAGTGAGACCCTGTTCCCCCTAAAAAAATATAAACGTTCAGAAAGCTCCTGGTATCATTCTGTGTCATATTTTCTTAGGCTTTTTCAACCTTCATATATCTGTACTGTTGAAAATACAATTTCAAATAGCAATTTCAAATGACAATATGATGAGGGTAAGTGCTTAATGGAGAGAGATTTATGAGCAATGTCTTTTATAAGATATCCAGCAGATCTTGTCATGTCAACCAAACATGTTAGTGCTCATTATAATTATATTTATTAAAATGAGATATTGCCATGCCCCCATGGCTTTCCTCCTGCCTCTCTGGGCTGGGTTTAGCAGTTGAACTAGTTTGTGCTGTTGGCTTGCTGAAGAGGGGAGAAGTCTGTTGAAATTCCATGCTTCAAGCATTTGAAAGGCACCTCTTCCTTCCACTTTGCCTGCCCACAGTGCTCCCTTCACCTCTAACCTGGTGTGAAGACCTCTTCAATGGCCCCCATGTGGGACACTGGCGGGAAGCCACTTAGAAAGTGCGGGAAGGGAACATGTAAAGAATTTGAGTTTTTTGTCTGAAGGGGTTGTTTTTTCCTTTGGTCATTATGGTGACTTAGGATTTGCAAGATGAAACTAATGCATGACTTAACGTATTATTTGGATTGCTGATATTTCAGTTACCAAATTCCAAATACCGTTCAAATGAAAGCTTTTGCTAGTAATAGATTTACAAAGGTAATATAAGCAAACACTACCCTTTAGGTTGGTTTGCCAAACTCCCTATCTTCTTAAATGTGACATGTTAAGATGCTGGATTTAAAGGACATTACCAAAAAGAAAAACCCACTATCTCAAAGCTTACATAGCCAAACAAGTACTGTTCCTCAAAGTAACTCCCTTGGAAAGAATTATACCACGTATGTTTATTTCAATAATTTCACTACTTCAAATCATTCTTTTAATGAAATGAGAGAACTTTAATCCATAATAATTGAGATTCCAGTGATGTTGCTATCACTTAAAATATTCTTGAAACTTCTCTGTAGGAATTGTGTTCAGAACTAGCTTACTAGTGATGCAAAAAAACAAATTATAATGCCTTTTATGGTGTTATTTCAATCATTTCCTCTTTTTAAAGCTTGCCATTCATATCTATTAAGCTTGCCATTTATATTTATTATAAAGCTTACTTCCAGGTGCTTTCAACAGTCAGATTCATCAAGAGGAATATGAGCTATCATTGAGAGTACTCAAATCATAGTCTGCATAATCTGGAGGCATTTTCTGTAGAGTAATTTCAGAAAACAATTGAGGCACAGCAGCACTGTTATCACCTCCCAGAGTGACTATTTGTAAGGGCTCGCAGTCATCTGGTTGCATAGGTTCAGGAGGACTGATTTTTAAAAATGGGTTTCATGACTTCATTCTTCCCTTTTAATCATGAGAATGCATCTGGTGACAGGGACTGTCAGCAAATGAGAGTGTAATGTGAGTGCTGTGGTATTGTTTTCAGTGTTTACTGCCCTAAAACCTACTTAGGTTTTTCACTTTAGTCGTTTCTGGTTTGGGAAGCTAATTTGGAGGTTAAATTTATAGAAGATGTTGTATTTTCATAGAGATTTGTTACTAACATACCTTGGTAACATTCTGGGTCTGCCTTTTTAAAGGGCTGGGGGTGTAGGGGGTAGGGAGCATTAATATGATAGTCTTGCCCAAGGTCACGCAGTTAGAGGTCACACTGGAGACCAAGACTCCTTCATTGGGCAGTACATTAAATCTTTCATTGTCTTTCTTTACCGGTAGTAAAAATGCAATTCCATCCCCCTCACAGGGATGTCAAAAAAATAAAATAATCTAGAATATATAGTAAAGTTGAAATTGTTATAAATACATTTAGTAATGTTATCTAAAAGACTAACTGGAATATCCATTTCATGAAATTCCATTGATCATTAAAACAACATTTATTTAAAAATTTTTTATTTTTTGTATTTTTTAAACAACATTTGACAGAGATTCATTGTCTGTTTCTTGCTTCTTTTGGTGATGTTATTGCCAGTGAGTAAGATTAAAATTTAGTCTTGCAGTTTTATGTAAATATAGTAAAATATTTTCCAGGTTAAAATAAAATGGCTAAAATGTTAACGATGGTATTTTAAAACCTGTACATTTCAATTTTCAGGTTGTAACTTCCATTCATGTTTACGCCATTAATTGGAAAAACATTTCATGACTTCTTTATCTTTGTTTTAGCCAAAGTCATACACTTGCTATCAGAAAATTATGCTGGAAGAACTGCAGTGGAAAAACTGAACACAAGGAAGCAGAAGATGCTGAGTGGTTGCATTTTGCAAGCTGTGGTGAAGATCACACTGTGAAGATACACAGAGTCAATAAATGTGCACTGTAATGGACTTAATAACTACATGCTTGCAGTCACTGGTATCTTAAAATAATATCACGTAAATAGATCATCTTTGCCTTCATAATAGAACTGAGTTTCTTTTTTTTTTTTTTTTTTGAGATGGAGTCTTGCTTTGTTGCAACCTCCACCTCCCAGGTTCCAGCGATTGTCTTTCCTCAGCCTCCTGAGTAGCTGGGACTAGAGGCACACACCACCATGCCTGGCTAATTTTTGTATTTTTAGGAGAGACTGGGTTTCACCATTGACCAGGCTGGTCTCAAACTCCTGATCTCAGGTGATCTGCTCACCTTGGCCTCCCAAAGTGCTGGGATTACAGGCATGAGCCACTGCACCCGACCTGAGTTTCATTTTTTAAGTCACATAGCAGTAGTCCTTATTTGAGTGCTAGACCCTTTGAAATGCGATGAAAGCTATGGACCCTTCACTTTGTTATATAACATATGTACACACACCCAGAACTTTGCACATACGTTCAGAGATTCCTAGACCCACAGACCTGCCTCTGTGTGTCCCAATTTAAGAATCTCTGTTCTTTCTTCATGACTGGATTTGCCCAATTTTGTGTTATTTTGGGACTTCATTTGTCCCTCTTTGGGACATTTCCTTATTTATTGCCCTCTTCAGAGAGTAGACATAGGAAAAACAAGATAGGAAACCTAGATTACTTAATTTTTAGTTTAACATTTTCTGTAGATAAGCATACCACACCAAGTGTGCTCTGTCTTGATCCCCTTCTTTGTAGCATATGCCAGACATTGTAGAGTTTGGCAAGCAGTTGTAGGTTTGAGCTGCAGCCAATCATTTCTTTTGTTCTTTAGAAGTATATAGATTTGTCTTTTTAGGGCTTTACCGAAAGTAAAATATCCTGACATTTAAACTGATAGATGTAGAAGGTAAAAAATAGAGTTCCGAAACATCTGAATTTATGTGATAGCTGAAGTCACAAGATGAGGGATGTATGTCCTCCAGGGAGGATGCAGAAAGAAGAAAAGGGTGCTGGAAACAGCCTGTCAGTTGTGCCAGCTGTGGGCTGGAGGCAGCCAGGAGAGTTGGGAGCCTGGGTGTTGGGTGGAGAGAGGTTAACAGGGAAGACATGGGAAGTACTGTGAACACGGCTGGTGTGAGCAGAGGACTATTCCGACCGTGTTGGACCATAGAGCCATCTGACAGATTGACAATACAGTGAAGGCTGTATATAATAAATGTGTTGAAAGGAGGAAGGTGAGGATTTTCTTGGTGGGAGTTTACGCCATTATTTCACATATTTTGCTTCCAAAGGGGTTAAAATGTTTTACCTAAATGGATGTTTGTAGGTCAGTGCTATAGAGTATTTCTAATCTGTGTTTTATAGTGTGAGCTACATATGTAATTTTAAAATTTTCAAGTAGCCACATAATGAAACAGGTGAAATTTAATGACCCATTTCCTTTAATACGGTATATCCAAAATATTATTATGTCAACCTGTAATCAATATAAAAACCTGTTACTGAAGTATTTTATAGGGCCTCTCTCAGTTCAGACTAGCCACATTTAAGTGCTGCATAGCCACATGTGGCTTATGGCCATCCATATTTGAACAATGTACTTTAGACTGTTGCATCTGTATACTCTTGTGCCCTCAGCGGGGGGATGGGGTGTGTGTGTGTGTGTACCAAGGCAGTGAGCATCTGAGCTTTGAACCTCAGAGACCAAAATGCCGTGCCCATTTCCCTGCTATCAGCTGAGGAATCTTTACTCACATTGACACACGGGCTTATTCTGACCCAAGTGCATTCAGGCTTCCAGAGCAGATTGAGAGGCCTAACTTAGTCCTTTAGCTCCCCTCCCAGCACAGAACCCCCCAGGTTATCTGAAAGTAGGCCTCACCTAGAGAGACTGAGTTTCCAAGTTGTCAGTTTTCCCAAATGGTCCTCAAGCATCTTCCTCAGCAATCACCTTACAGTTTAGTAAACATTCAGAGGACTTGCTACACATCTAGGCAGTCTGCATTGTAATTCATATGTGTTTACACACTTATGTCTTCATTTGCTAAAGCACCTTTGAACCGTATTGTAGTTCATAATATCTGAAGCAATTATTTTGAATTGTAGTAATTCATAATATTGAAGCAATTCATAATATCTGAAGCAATCCTCAGATATGGGTTAGGCATGGCCCTGCTCTGAGCAGGATGGCAAAAGTGGCAGTCTATGACGCAGCCCTTGTTACCCAGGCTATTCCTAAATGGTGGTGGTGGTTTTATCTTAATTAAAATGACATCACCAACAACGCGCCCTTTCCTGTCTGCCAGGAAAAGTTTTCTGTAGTGACGCATGTGTTTGTGTGTGTGCGTTCGAGGCTATATTACCCATTGCTACAGCAGTTCAAAATGACTTGGAAAAAAACAATGAATGCTGGTCATTGATGTGTATACCGACATGTTTAAGGGAAGTTACTATGGTCTGTAACTTAAGAAATACATAAAAAATAAGATGGGTGGAGTGACGGACACATGGATAGATATGAAGCCAGCACTGTAAAATATTAGTGGTAGTTTTGGAGAGAGGAGAGAGGCCATGCTTTGTCCGAGAAGCTCCTCCTGGGGTGGAAGGCACAGCTCCACAAAGGCTGCTCTTGCGGGGGCTCCCCTGCAGCCAGGTGCCTGCTGACTGTCCCCAAACTGCCCGCCAACAGAGGGATGCAAAGGGAGCCTCTTCCTGCTCTGTGGAATAGGCAAATTATGTCACCTTTCACTCCGGACTCTCACTTCTGCCCCTGCTACCCTTAGTCGTTGGCTTTTGCTGACATTTTCCCCTACATCTTTTCTCCTGACCAAGTTCTAGATATTTCATAGGGCAGTCTAGGTAAGGGTTGGAACCTCAATGAGTCGAGCAACAGAAACCCAGCTCACACTGGCTATCACTGTGGGCAAGCTGTTCCCCTCATTTCTAAAAGTGGAGATAAGATTAGTGTATGAGTCTGGCTGCCATTCAACTGTGTGTGAAAAACATTGTAAAATTTTCTTTCTGGTTTACACAAGTTAAAAGTTTATTTCTCTCATATGAAAGGAGTCAAGGCAGACAGACCAGGATGGGCAGGGAGATGTCTACAGGATCAAGGACCCAGGCTCTTATTTCGCTGTCTGACGTCCTCAGTATGAGGCTTTCACCTTCCAGGATGGCTGCTTGGCCTCCTGCCATGATCTTTGCATTCCAGCCAGTAAAGAGGAGGAAGGCATGAAGAAAGGCCTGCCCCTGACTTTAAAAACATTTCTTGGAAGTCCCATACGATTTTACTTAGTCTCCTCAGGCAGAATTTAGTGTTGTGGTCATACCTAGCTTCAGGAGAAGCTAGGAAATTAAATCTTTGTTGCAGATGCCCATGTGTTCAGCAGAGAACTGGGGTGCTTCATTCTGGCAGAAAGGTAGAACAGCAGTAACCAGTTTGTAGGATTGTCCTGAGAATTAAATGAACCAATGTATGAAAAACACTAGTTTGGTGCCTGGGATATAAATAAGACAGCAGTGGTTTGTATCTGCTACTATTATGATTAAATAAAGCTCAGCTCATGTCACCTCCATAGAGCCTTTAGTAAACCCCTCAAGTATTCTTTTTTTTTCTCTCTCTGAATTCCGTAGTATTTTATTCCAATTTCCTTTTATGGCACTTGTCACCTTCTACTATTTTTGTGTATGTTTTGTGCTGTGTCAGGTAGATGCCTTCTTTTGTAAGGAAGTTCATCTCAAACACAAAGGAATTACTGGTTTATATGACTGAAAAAAGTTCAGTGGTGGGATAGGCTTCAGGTGCAGTCTGATACGGGCTCTGCCTTCCTTTCTCTAGTTTGCTCAGCTCTGCCCTTTCCATGGCAGCTTTCTCCTTTTGTTATTATTTGAAACTGAGTTTCGCTCTTATTGCCCAGACTGGAGTGCAGTGTCCTGATCTCGGCTCACTGCAACCTCCACCTCCTGGGTTCAAGTGATTCTCCTGCCTCAGCCTCCTGAGTAGCTGGGATTACAGGCACATGCCACCATGCCT